TCGCTCTGGATCTCTCGCCCGCCGACGCAGTCGGACGACGTTGGCCTCTTTCCGCCGCGCACGCCGCTGACGGCCTCGCTCGGACTCCCGCAAGACAACACTTCACTTTATCAGCGCCACACCGATGCATACGGCCTGCCGGCGCGCACCTCGCCGGCGCGTTCGCCGTCACCAGAGCTCGCCGCCCGCGCCCCGACGCTTGCGGCCTACATGGCCGGCGACCGAGCCGAATGTGCCGTACTCGCAGCGTCCGGCGGCGGCGTCGTACCTCGACCCGACTCCGGGTAGGCACACCACGTTTGCCTCGTCAGCGTCGGCCTCGGGCTACGCCGGCGCCTCGACCGCTGCGGGGTGGCGGGGGGGCGGAGCTGGCGGGAAGGTTAGCGTGGAGGCAGGCGGGCAGGCAGGAGAGGCGGGCGGGATGGCGGGATACCTCACTCACCTTTACCCCACTCTGGGGACGCACACTATGACGCACCGTCCGGCACAGTATGCGTCATTCTTGCCTAGGGTGGTGGGTAGGGCTGCGGTGATCGGCCCGGCGGTGGCGGCTGAGCCCGACCTGGCCAGACTCACTACCGACGACCTCGTCTCGCGCCTGCTTGTCACCAACGAGACGCTGAGGACTGCCAATGATCGTCTGACAGCAGAGCTGGACATGGCGCAAAAGTCGGCGGGAACGGCAGAGCGGGCAAAGGCTGCACTCGCCCGCCTTGCTGCAGACTATGAGCGTCTTGCTCTCGCTGTCCGTCCCGACGGGAGCATCCCGCTCGCCTTTTCGCTCAGGCCGCGGGCTGATCCCGATGTCGCTGCCTTCTTGCCGCCACGTGTCAGAAAGACGCGCAGAGTGAGGCGACGTGTAGGCCGCCGGCCGAAAGCGCAGAAGAAGGCTCAGGCCCAGGCCAAGACCAAGGCCAAGTCGCGCCGAGTTGGTGCGGTCGATCGTGTGGCCGATAACCCCGACAGCGAGACCAGCGCGGTCGTTTCGAGCGGTTCAGATGGCTCAAGGACAGGTGAAGGCAATGCCCGCACAATTCATGATGCCAATCGACGCCCGCCATCGATCATCTCGCGGCTGAGCGACTCGTTCACTCTTGAGCCGGTGCGCGAGGTTTCCGGCATATTGGAGGAGGGCGGGGAGGCCGCGGCGGCTGAGGCAGTTGGGGGTGCCAAGACTACTGGCCGTCTCATGTCTCGATCCAACTTTTCCCGGTCCAAGACCTGGTCGCAGGCACTTGTGGCGGACGACAACCACAGGTCGAGTTCACAAGAGACAACACGGCCAGAGTCTAACCAGGGCTCGGGCTCGAGCTCCAGCTGCACCAGCTCGACATCGGCCTCATACAGCTATCACTCATACGAAGAGAGTTATGAAGCGAGCGGCGCTGAGGAGACGGTGATGGTGATGCCGTCTGTGTCAGCGGCGACCACAGGTGCTAACTCGATTGTAAGTGGTGGCGGCGGAGTCTCGCCCGAGGCGCTGGCCGAGGTGCAGGAGGCACTGGAGCGGGTCCAGGGCGAGCGCGACTCACTTCGACTGCGATACGAGTCGGTGCTCGCCCACTACGAGAACGCGTACAAGCAGCTGTCAGAGATGCAGCGCAAGTTGCGCGAAGCCGAGATGCGCGAGCAAGCCAAGGCTGACAACTTTCGCATCCGGCTCGGCGCCATGGAGGCTCGGGCGTCGGCGGGGCGGCGAATGTCGATCTCGATCGGCTCGACGTCACGGACAGGCTTGCCGTCGTTGACCTCGCTTCCGCCACTCAGTGCGCGCTCGCAGCGGTCAGCCGAGGAGGCCTGCGGAGGGGAAGGTACCGAGATGACTGCGGCCGAGATGACCGCAGCTATGACCGAGGCTGCGACCGAGGCCAACGACCGCGCTGACCGGCTGTCGTCGGAAAACGCGCGGCTGGAGGGCGAGGTGAGTTCACTGTGGGCCACAATTGCCTCCAAAGATGAGCATATTGCTGATTTGCAGGCTGAGAAGGATTCGCTGACGAGCGAGGTGCAGCGGCTACGGCACGCGCTCCGTCAGGCCGAGCTCGACCTGAGCGTGGCTAGAACGTGACCTTTTGGCCGCAAATGAAACGGTGCTTGAGCGCTTGCGCAAGCTGTGCGGCAACGACAGCGCCGATGCCTGCTTGGTCACCTTGGGCAGCGACGGGCGCAGCATGTCCTTGATGATGTTGAGCCGCGAGCGCATGTCGTCGTTGACTTGGTTGTCGGCGAGCGACGAAGCAAGGTCGAAGGCGGTCTCGCCGGCCACGTTCTTGTGCGTGGCGTCGGCACCAAGGCGAAGGAGCGATGAGACGGCGTCAATTTGCGCTGCTTGGGTGGCAGCCATGAGCGGGGTGGTGCCAAACTTGTCGGCGGCGTTGATGTCAGCTCCGCCGCCGATGACTCGGCGCATGAGCGCCTCGGGCGCGGCGTAAGTGCCACAGAGATGCAGCGGCGAGGTGCCCATGTTGTCGCGGGCTGTTGAAGATGCACCGTGGTCGAGGAGGTACTCGGCAAGGTAGGTGTATCCGGCCCGGATAGCGGCAAAGAGCCCAGTCTCACCCGATGACGGGTCGCGGGTGTTGATGTCGACCTTGTTTTCTCGATGAGCTTGGTAAGCATGGCGGTGTCGCCCTTCATAGCCGACATCCATACCGTTGGCTCCTCCTTGATGTAAACAAACGAGTCAAAGATGTCGCGCTCCGGCCGGGTGTCGGCCTCGGGGTTCGGGCGCAGCTGTGCAGCCGTGCGGATGGCGTGCAGAGCGGTGGCCTCCATGCCCAGCAGGTTGTCAATGCCGCGCTCGACCGCCAGCATCTGTTTGCGCCGGCGGGTAGCAAGTCGCTTGCGGGTCATGTACTGCTCTTCGATGCCGATGCGTTTGTCCTCGGCCGCCTGGATGGCAGCCATAGCCTCTGCCTGCTGCGCCGCGGTGCGCGCCGCACGCTCACGCCGGTGCTTGGCCCGCAGCATCTGAACCGAGACCTCGTGGTAGTCAGTGCGGAGGTCGTGGGTCTGATTATTTGAGCGCTTCTTGATGTGGTGGATTCGGTCGATGTGGCCCAAGTCGGTGTCGACCGACGAGGCGTCGTCGGCGTCGTCGATGCGGATCATGGCCTTGGATCGAAAGTCGTGCAGGTCTGCCGCGCCTGCATAGTGTGCCGTCGACGCCACATACACTGCAGCGTCCGGATACATTTCCCGCGATGAGACTGGCCGCTCGAGCAGCTGGTCGTCCCACGCATCAGGCGCAAAGACAACCGAGGCTGGTGGCGTCTCGAGCTGATCGGCATGTGAGGAGGCGGCCTTGCTCTTGCTCTTGGCTTTTCCCTTTGCAGCGCCGACACCTCTGGCAGCTCTTGCTCGGCTTGTCCGCCGGCCACGCCTCGGCGACTGCCTAGAATCTCCCGATCTTGCATGTACAGCCTGTTTGCGGTGCGCAGCAGCAGGAGCGATGGCAGCCACCAGCGGCGGCCGGACGAGATGGCGCTGGACCTCGGCCTTGATCCGTACTCTACGGGCCTGCTCCTCGGCCCGCACCTGCTTCTGATACTCGGAGAGACCAGGTGGCAGGGCCAAAGTCGATGGCGATGGCATATCAGCAGCCGTAGCAGCTCTTGGGCGACGTACCGGTCGGACCCGGGCCAGCGGCGATGGCAGCCGAGCCGTCCGTCCTGGCAAGGGGAACGGCGGCTTTTGGCCACTCTCTGTCACAGGTGGGCGTGGCGAGAACATAAACCTCCCCCCCCCTCCTCTCTCTACACACACCTTGTCCCCGCTGCTTTTCGGGCGCTGGGTGGTGTGAGAGGGATGTGGGCTAGGCGGTGGTTGGTGGGCCGGCCGGTCGGTGGTTGGTGGGCCGGCCGGTCGGTGGGCGGCGGAGTCGTTGGCCGGCGGTGGTGCATCCATTCGACTCGATTGGTTTGGGTTGATTCATGTCGCGATTTGCTGACGCCGAGGAAGATGAGACGGTGGCGGTGCTGGTGACGCCTGTGACGGCCATGGGAGAGACGTACGAGCCGAATGTGGAGGCCACACAGGTAGATATTGAAGAGGAGGAAGAGGTCGAGATAGAAGGCGTGCCTACGCCTGTGGACCCGGTCCCAGTCGTCGTTCCCGGTGGCTCCTCCTGGGCAAAGATCGCAGCCTTGGATGAACCCGTGGATGGTCCGCTGGTGTGGGCTGGACCAGGTATGGGTCCTGGAGGCATGCACGGCGATATTGCCAACAAGGACAGCATTGGCGAGGAGGAAGTCCAAGGTGGGGATGGTGCTGGTGCGGATGTGGACGGCATGGGTGCACAAGGCGGGAAGAAGGTCTCGTTTGCTGGCGAGGAGAACCTGCTCGAGCGGCTGGTGGTCGACTCGGGCGCGCTGATCAAGGGCGCCAACTTGCGTGACATGGCCAAGACCTTCTACACGGTGCCCGAGGTGGTGCAGGAAATCAAGGATCGGCACTCGCGGAAGCAGATGCGCCTCATGCCCGACGAGCTTGTTGTACGCGAGCCGTCGGCCGAGGCCGTTGCTGCCGTCGCCAACTTTGCCCGCAAGACCGGCGACTTTGCCGCACTCTCGGTCGCGGATCTCAAGGTCATTGCGCTTACCTGGCAGTACGAGTACGAGTTTAACGGGACGGCAAACCTCAAAACCGAGCCGCAGTCTTCGTGGCGCGGCTCGCTTTCAAAGGCTGCCAAGGCGCAGGTCAGCACCGAAGCTGAGCGGAAGGCAAAGAAGACCGCGCGCAACCGGGCGCGCCGCCGGGCGCGCCAGCGGCGCCGCGCCGCAGCCAGGGAGAGGAAGGCTGCCCTCGAGGCCAAGGAGGCCGCGCCTGATGCACCCGCTGAGGATGCAGTCGAGGGCGCCGAGGATAAGCCCGCAGCTGGAGTCGAAGCCGACGATCAAGACGAGGCCGAGCCAGCCGCGCCAGCCGAGCCGAAGAACGAGGCCAAGGCCGAGTCCGGGAGCAAGGGCAAGGGCAAGGGCGAGGGCAAGGGCAAGGTTGCGACCAAGACTGCGCCGACCTCGCCTTTTGACGTCTTCATTTCGCCGGCTAACTTTAAGGTCATCATGGGCGACCGGACGGTGACAAGCGCGTCGTCGCTGGCGGGCCAGGTCGGTGTCGTCACCACAGACTTTGCCATGCAGAACGTGATCCTGCAGCTTGGGCTGCGGCTGGTCTCTATCGACGGCATGGCGATCGGCAAGGTCAAGCAGTTTGGCAAGCGGTGCCACGCGTGTGGCGCCATCGAGCTCAACGCTGAGCGCATCTTTTGCGGAACATGTGGTAACCAGGCGCTCATCAAGGTGGCCATCGAGGTCGGTGCCAACGGCAAGGTCAAGCTCCGCGGCGGCTACCGCAAGAACTACAACTTGCGCGGGACCAAGTACTCGATCCCCAAGCCCAAGGGCGGTAAGAAGGGTGAGGACATGGTGCTCCGTGAGGACATGCTCCACAAGACCGGCATCAACTGGCAGCGGTCGGGCAAGAAGAACTCGGTGCTCGACCCGGACGTCATGACGCACTTTACCGGCGCCAAGGCCAAGACCAAGCGTTACGCCCGGTCGAAGATCGGCTACGGCAAGCGCAACCCGAACGAGTGGGCCAAGCCCAAGGGGCGTTAAAACCTACACGTAGACAATGTATAGTGGGATGACTGGCTACCACTGTGGATCGGAGATTGCAGCCGTAGCCGTCACCAGTTTGTTGCAATGTGTGGCGGCGTGGCCGTGGTCACTCGACCGCGACAGTTCCTCTCCCCCCCCCCCCCCTGCTCCCGCCACTTGGCTTCGCTCCATCTGCTGCACAGCTGGAGGGAGGAGAACAGGCCAACCACACCGCCCCGTCATCTTGTGCAAGAAGAAAGGACGAGTGGCTTGTGGAGTGACCATGGCTGAACGGAAGACGACGTATGTCCGACCCCGTCTGCCCAGCCTTGCTGCCACCGATGACATTGTCTTCCAGGCCATTGACGCACGCGTAGCTGCCTTCCACCCCACCACAGGCCATGAGTTGATGCTCTACGAGGGGGCTTTCGTCACCATGGCTGCCGATGATGACTTTCTCTACACCACCAATGTACGCCCCCCACTCCCTTCCCTGCCTTCTCTCCCCCCTTTCCCCCGCCCGCCCCCTTTCTTCCCGGACCTCGTCTCCTTGCAAAGGAAGCAACTGGCGCGCTTACACTCACCATTACCATCACATCATCACCGCACTGACTGCCGCCATGAACATGGCCATGACCATGACCCCCACCACCCCTGTCACCATCAACATCACCACCATCAACCATCACTACAACCACAGAGGCACGAGCTCCAGGCGTGGAATCTCAAAACTGGACTCGTGGTCCGCACCATCGAAGTTTTGCCCGAGCCTCAGGGCGGTAAGACGCTCCGGAGCCTGCATGTCGACTCTGAGGCTCGCATCGCCTTTGTGCAGGCTTGGGGCTCCGATTGCCGTTCCGTCGATGACTCAGCCATCTATGCTTTCAACATGCGGACCGGAAAGCAGGTTGCCAAGTATGTCGGCGGCTCGCTGACTGTCGAGATGTCGGCTTCAGACGAGTCGGACGAGGTCCGTGAGGGCATGTCGTGTCTGGCGGTCTCACCTACTCTTGTCGCCGCCGGCTGCTTTGACCGCAACCTCTATATCTTCAACCGGGAGACGGCCAAACGGGTCCATGTCCTGAGTGGGCACGGCGCCGACATTGACGCGGTCGGCTTTGTCCGCGACAACTCGGTCGTCTTCTCCGTCTGCACTGCCGATGACGATCCGCTTGTCCGGTTCTTTGACGTCGAGTCTGGCGAGCTCATCGGCGCCATCAACGAGCACCCCGATCTCCCATATGCTGATGTCCAGAACCTTGTCTTTACAGGTGAGAATGACGAGGTTGTTGTCTGCTCTTGCGACTCGGAGATCCGAGTCTGGCACTGGCCGTCCGAGACCCTGCTTCGCATCATCACCCTGCCTTCGCTCGAAGGCATGGGTCGCTACGAGCTCATCGAGGACATGGTCCTCAGTCTTGAGCTGCATACCCTGTTTGTGGCCATCAACAAGTACGTCCTTGCTTTTGACATCCAGGGCCTGTTCGACGTTGCCGGCGCTGCATCCGAGATGCCGGCGCGCGATGCTTCGCCGGTGTCCGACTCGAGCTCGAGCTCGGGCACGTCGAGCTTCGAGCATGCTGCTGCGGTGCCTCCGCCGTCGTCGGGGGGCGTTGTCCGCGTCGCCCCGCCGTTGCTGTGGAGCCACACGGTGCTGCAGGACGGCATGCGCGAGTACACCAACGAAGAAGAGTTTACCGCTCTGACTATGGTGGCGTCGACGCTCTCGCCACTCGGCTACGTCATCATCGGCAACACGAATGGGCACTCGCCGCCGCGCGCCATCGCACCGAACACCGGTGAGATGCTGCTAACCTATGTCTCGTCCATCGGGCTTCCGATCAACGTCGTTGCCATCGACCATGACCGTGGGTGGCTCTGGATTGGAGGCGAAGAGCGTGACGTCATCGCGTATGCCATGCACGGCAGCTTTCCCGAGATGGCACGGCTTCCGATGGGCGCGTCTGTCTCCACGCTCAAACTTGTGCCCGAAGCCGACCTCCTGGTGGCGTCGTCGTCCAACTCAGTCGTGGAAAAGTACGTGGTGTGGAAGCTGTCGACGCTTGAACCGCTCTCGCAGATCATCGACGATGGCGACACCGATCTCTACTTTAACGACGACTACACCGTGCTGGCCGAGTCCAAGGAGCTTCTCCTTGTCGGTCACGATGGTGTGTACCGATTCGACGTCGGGAGTGGGGTCAACAATTCGCTCGTTCTCTCATACCCGTTCCACGCCACCGACTTTGTGGCGCCGGTCGTGCCCACCACCCATCCCGAGTGGGTCATTGCCGCCGGCGAGGGTAAGATTCTGGTCTTTGACTTTAACTCGGGCGAGCGACGGTTTAAGCTGCCTGTGGGCCACGTCAAGGCGTCAGGCGGGTACTGGCGGCCAGAGTCGATTTCGCAGATGGTGGCGACCAAGGGCTATCTCATTGTTGCTGCCAAGACCATCCGGATGTACTCTTTGGAGCGGAATCTGGAACTTACGCGCGAGATCGAGGTGCCCGGCCGGGCCAGCATCGGATCCATGCTTGTCTCGCCTTCGACCGACCGGCTGTATGCAGAAGGCAAGCGGAGTCACCGGTCGATCTACGCGTTCCGGCTTTCTACCGGAGAAAAGGTCCGCATTTACCGCGGGCCACACTCTGTGGCGTGGATGCAGCTTGCCGGCGAGGACAAGGTGCTTCTTGGGCGCGACGCCAAGAGCAACAAGCTCTTTGTGTGGGACACTGACTCGGACTCGCCGGTCGCGGAGTTTAACGACTACCACGAGGGTGTTAACGCCGTGGTCGAGGATCGCGGAACGCTGTACGGGGTCTCGACGTACATTGGTTTCCGTTCACTCTCGCAGTGGCGGCGGTACGGGGTGGTGGCGCGCGGCAAATGCCGCGAAGAGTCGCAGATCACCCGGATTAAGGATAGGTACGGCTCGTGCTGCCGGTTCATCTCATCGGTCATCTTTATGATCATCTCGTTCCTGCAGCTTGTCGGCTTTGCCTTCACGGCGTCGATCAAGTGGCCAGACGAGTACGAGTCGGTGAAGAAGGCGACGCAGGCGCTGCTTGCGCTCGGCACTACGGACATCTTTGACTCGTTTGAGGTCCGCTTTGCCGTTGCCGCCGTCCTTGCTGGCATCTTCCTCTGCGCGTTCCAGGTCCAGGAGAAATTTGAAAAGGCCAAGTTCATGCGGCCGGGGTCGGCGGTACTCAAGATGGGATGGCTTTCGTTTGAGTTTATCATGGGCCTCCTCGCATCGACAGCGTTTCTTCCGGTCTTCCAGACGCTCTCGGGCGCGTTTGACTGCGTAAGTGATCCGGGAGACGGCCGCGCCAAGGTCGCCGACGCCACTGCAAACTCGCCGGACACGCCGACGAGCTTGGTCTGCTGGAGCTCGGGCCACACACCGATGGCGATTGTGGGCGGCGCGCTTGGTTTGTACTTTTTGTCGTGGCGCTTCGCTTCTGGCGAGTCGGCGGCGAGCTCTCGTCGATCGAGGTCAAGCTTAACCCGTTCAACTGGCGCGACGACGCCATGACCTTTTTCGAGCACGCTCACCCGCTAGAGTCGTCGCGCGAGGGTTACATCTTTGGCATGGTGCTGCTGGTGGTCAAGGTCGCGCTCACCCTCAGCGTCATTCTCCTCTCGACTTCTGGCTACCTCATCGCGTTTCTGGGCATTGTGTGCTCGCTGGCCCTCTCGATTGTGACTCTCTTCTTTCCGCCGTTCAAGACGCCGTCGGTCAACGGCATCCAGATGGGGCTCGACATGTCGCTGCTGTGGACATTTGTGTGCGCGCTACTGACGCTCGTCCTCAAAAAGTCAGTGGCGCTCTTTGTGCTCCCGCCGCTGGTGTTTGTCATCTTCAACCTCGCCCAAGTCCTCATGTGGTACCGCGAGTACCGGCGGCGGAACGACGAGCGGCCCGAAGATGAGGAGACACCCAACTCGAGCTCGTCGTCTATCTCGTCGTTCATGGCGTCGTCCACAACGTCCGACTACATGCCCGGTCCGATGCCTCCCAAGCGGGAGCCGCCAGCCGGGACCCGGCGGTCGACTCCGCGCGCGGTTGGCTCCGGTTCGGATGGCTGGAGCGACATTCCCGGAGAAGACGACGACGTCGCCGTCGTCTCTGACGACGACGGTATTGGCGGAAGCGATGGCAGCGAGGCACCCGGAGGTGGAAAGGAGCCACGCAAGACCACGCTTGACCTTGGCCTCGACCTTGACCTCGACCTTGACCTCGACGACTCGGGCGACGCACTCCCGCTCGACCTCGCGACCGACTCGGACTGGTAATCTCAACTGAGGAAGTTGACCTCAACTAAGGAAGCCGGCGAGCGCCACCTGGGCGGCGGAAGCAGCCTCTGCGGTGATTGTACGCATCTGCTGTTCGGTGATGATCTGCTGAGAGTCGGCGAACGGAGCCAAGGCGTTGCGGATGGCCTCGGAAAAGGCCTGGATCGCGACAGTGAGCGCAGCGTCCTGACCTGGCATGAGGGTCTCAGTAAACTTGCGGAGGGCATTCCTCATCATTGACGTCACATCCATTTGCACGAGGTGGTCCGACTCGGGCTCGAGCGGGCTTTGGTCCTCGCTCTCCTTGAGCAAAAAGTCGGTGGCGGGCGAGCTTGCGTAGAACTCGACACAGGAGCGGCAGGTGCACAGCTGGGAGAGCCAGTCGGCCGGCAGGCGGCAAAGACGCCGTGCGGCGGCGGCTCGATCTTGGTCCCGGCGTACTTGCACGTCACGCTGGAGCTCTCATCACCATTGCCATTGCCACTAGAGGCACCGGTGGCCAGAGAGGTGATGGTCGACGTCTTGGCCTTTTTGGCCGACGGGCCGATGTCGTCGCTAGCGACGCGCTTGGGAGTAGGCAGGCCGGGAACCGGGGCAACAAAGCCGAGGAAGCGCGGGTAGTACTCGGAGGTGCATGCAGCACAGGCGATGCGGGCAAATTGCTGTGAGAGATCGGGTTTGGGAATGGCTTCTGGCCAGCTGAGCAGTAGACAGGAGAGATGGAACCAGTCCTCACAGAACGGACACTGGAGCATGTCCTCCTCAGCCTGCGGATCGTACTGCTTCTTGCAAGAGCAGTACACTTCCCGAAAGTTGTCGTTGTATCGATTGAACGGGTTGCTTGCCCGCTCGATGGCCTCACCAGGCGCATCAGCCGAGGCGTAGCACTTTGAGCCGCCCATGGCCGGCGTGCCACAGTCGCATCGGAAGCCTCTACGGTCCCAGATGGGCCGCACATCGTGATCGGTATGACAGGAGACAGCGCATGCCTCACAAAAACCACCGTATTCTCCTGCATTGGGTAGACAGGTGAAACAAACGTAGACAGACTGGCGGACATAGCCCTCTGGATGGGAGCATGCTCCCGCCCCGTCCGGGTACGTCTCGGCTGCCTCTACCTCGGCCTCCTGCACAAAATCCGGAATCTCTGTTGCAGACAGCACACGCTCTGCGGACATGGCTTCTGTTGTGTTTTCCAAGTAGGAGGTGTGTGTGTGGAGGGGGGGGGGGGGAGAGGTGTATGTGTATGTGTGTGTGTGTGTATGTGTGTGTGTGTGTGTGTGTGTGTGTGTGTGTGTGTGTCTGTGTGTCACTCGGCAGACCGAGGGTACGACTCGGTCATGTGATGGATGATGGATGAATGGATGGGCTGTTGGGTGGGTGTAGTGAAAAGGGCAAGTCCTGATCATGAACTCATGGACTGGACACTGGACCATCCCAGCGTACCAACGCTAAGAATAGAGACGCTTGTGCAAGAGTATACAGAGTGCGATGTGCATCCATCCCCCCCCCCCCCCCCCCCCCCCCCCCCCCCTCATCAGGTGGTGCGGTCGGTCGTTGGGTCAGTCAGTCGGTTGGTCGGTCAGTGCGCAGTGAGGAGGGTGTCGGAGAGGAGGGGATAGACTCGACTACATTCAAGAGTATATATCAATGTCGAGTCGCAGAGGACGTACAGGTAGAGTGGGTGGTAGTGGTAGTGGCACTGGCGGGAAGACCGCTTCAGAACTCTCTGCCTCCCTCACCTCCCTCCATGCGCGTCTTGACCAAATTGCCGCAAAGTTGCAGAGTCCAGCCTCTGTCGCAGCTGCTGGCGGGGCGAGTGGCATGGCTGGAGACGGATCGTACGGTGGGAGGCCGGCGACAAGCTATGCTGGGTCGGGTGGGTATGGTTATGCTGGGATGGATGCCGCGGCGGGTTATGGTCCGTATCCGCAGCAAGCTTCGGGCATCGTTACCTCGTCGCCGTATAGAGGTCAGCAAAGCGATGTCGGGTATGGCGGGGGCGGAGCTGCCCCCGGCTTTGGCTATGCTCGGCCGGTCTCTCTCTCGGTCTCGCCTGTCCTCCGCAGCCAGGCATCGGCAAGTCGTGGCGCCAACATAGGGTATCCTCGCGATTCGTCGCCGCCGGTCGCTCCGCCGGTCCTCTCACCGGCACGGTCGAGCCGCCTACCTCCGGCAAAGTCGGGTGGGGGTTTGAGCCAGGTTCCGAGGCAGACTGGGGCCGGCCGGAGAAAGGCGCTCACGCAGAGGCCATCATTTGGCAGCCGAGTGGAGGCACCGACGCCGCGCGCCGAAGTGTTTGCGGCGGCGGCGCCACCGGGACGGCAGCATCGCAAGAGCCGGGGTGGCAGCGGCAGCGGCGGCAGCAGCGGAGGTTCGCGGTCGGTGGCGGCGCTGACAACCAGGGTTGATCGGCTGCGAGCGCGAATCCGCGAGCTGGAGGCCGAGCGTGAGCGACAGAATGTGGTCATCGAGTCGCAAAAGGAGTCGCTGGAGGCAGCCAAGTCATCACGGGAAGACCTGACGGCACTACTCAAGCGCGAGCGCAAGCTCAAGCACACGTTCAAGGAGCGGCTGGAAGAGCTGCGCGAACGGAGCGCCAAGGCCTCGGGCGGGAATAGCGGCGGCGGTGGCGGGGCACGCAAGGTACAAGCGGGGCCAACGGTCTCGTCCTCGTTCCACGCGTTGGAGATCAAGAAGCTTAAGGCGCGGATTTCCGAGCTCAAGGCGGCGCTTCGCGAGGCATCAAGCGCGCGCAAGGGTGCGGTGGTCGAGGTTGGCGCGCGCGATGTGGTCATTGACGACCTCATGAAGACGAACCAGGATCTCACGGCCCAGCTCAAACATGTACAGGAGCTTGTCGACGGGGCGCAGGGGCGTGTAGCGCTTCTTACTGCCGAGAACAACCGGCTGCAAGAGGCGCTCAACTCGGCGCTGGCGTTCGCGGGCGCCAAGCCGATCAGTAGCGGCACCAGTGCGGCTGGTCCGATTGTGGCTCATGCGCTTGCTGTAGCACTGGCCGAGGCCGAGGCTGCAGCACTGGTGAGCGACGACGCTGCCGGCAAGATGGCGATGGCTGCGGCTCTACTGGAAGTGTCGGGTGTGTCTGCGGGCGCGGCACAGAAGCGGGCTGCTCGGCTGGCGCAGGCCAACCCGGGGTTGTTTGGCACGATGGCGGCCATGCTAGGCAAGCAGGCAGGCTCGTCTGCGAGCGGATCGGGCAGCCTGGGTCGGATTGTGTACGAAGACGTGTTGCGACCGGCGCTGGAGCAAGGAGTGTATGTTGGCGATGTGGACGACGTAGTTAACGAGGCCATGGATGTGACGGACGGCGACGGCGGATCGGAAACCGACTCATCTGTCGCTGAAGTGCTTCACCTGCTCGATACAGTGGACACAACGCTGAGCATGGAGCAAGACAAGGCGGTGCGCGCGCGGGCATCTGCGCTCATCTCAGCGCTTGATGTCGAAGATGCTGGCTCGATCTCGCGGGCGCAGCTGGTGGGCGTGCTGGAGGCGATGGGGACGGAAAACGAGGCTGCGGTTGAGTCTGCAGCCGAGCTGTGTGATGTGGCCGACGGGACGCGGGCTGCCAATCATGCCGTGGTTGACATGCTTGCATCTGTGGCCTATTCCGCTGACGCCAGCGTCCTGGCGATGGTCGATACCAAGCTACTCGAACTGCAGGCCCTAGGCAAGGGCCGCACGGTGACTGTGGAGGGATTGATGCGGGAGATTGAGGAGCAGGTGTCGGCGCCCGGCTCTGTTAACATTGCGCAGGCAGTGGAGTTTTACCGTGCGCTGGGCTCTGGACGCACTGACGCTGTTGAAGAGGCAAGGTCGCTGCGGGGCGATGACGGGCGCGTGGCACTTGCACACCTGGAGACGTCGCTGAGACAGCTGCTTTCGGCGCTGCCACGACTTCGCAAGGTCAACGTTGTCGAGTCGCTGTTTGATGCAGTGCCTGCCATTGTCGGCGCTGTGGACGACGGGAGCCTTGAGGCCGGTGACGGTGGCGGCAGTGACTCGGCAGCGAGCGGAGACTCGAGTGACGATGATGAGCATTTGGCGACAGAGCAAGTTACTGCAGAGCAAGCGCGTAAGGGTGAAGAGGAAGTGGCGGCCATGATGGCGCGGCGGCGTGCTGCTGCCGATGCGCTCGCCGAGAGCGAGGCCGAACGCGAGCGGGAGCTGGAAGCCGAGCGTGCAGCGGCGAAGGCCGAGGCCGAGGCTGCCGAGGCCGAGGCTGCTGCGTTGGCTGAGGCTGAGGCTGCTGCGGATGCCGAGGCTGAGGCTGAGGCTGCTGCTGCTGCCGAGGCTGAGGCTACTGCGTTGGCTGAGGCTGAGGCTGAGGCTGCTGCGTTGGCTGAGGCTGAGGCTGAGGCTGCTGCGATGGCTGAGGCTGAGGCTGCTGCGTTGGCCGAGGCTGAGGCTGCTGCGGCTGCCGAGGCTGAGGCTACTGCGTTGGCTGAGGCTGAGGCTGAGGCTGCTGCGATGGCTGAGGCTGAGGCTGAGGCTGCTGCTGAGGCTGAGGCTGCTGCTGCTGCCGAGGCTGAGGCTACTGCGTTGGCTGAGGCTGAGGCTGAGGCTGCTGCGTTGGCTGAGGCTGAGGCTGAGGCTGCTGCGATGGCTGAGGCTGAGGCTGCTGCGTTGGCCGAGGCTGAGGCTGCTGCGGCTGCCGAGGCTGAGGCTACTGCGTTGGCTGAGGCTGAGGCTGAGGCTGCTGCGTTGACTGAGGCTGAGGCTGCTGCGTTGGCTGAGGCTGAGGCTGCTGCTGCTGCCGAGGCTGAGGCTGCTGCGTTGGCTGAGGCTGAGGCTGAGGCTACTGCGATGGCTGAGGCTGAGGCTACTGCGTTGGCTGAGGCTGAGGCTGAGGCTGCTGCGATGGCTGAGGCTGAGGCTGCTGCGTTGGCTGAGGCTGAGGCTGCTGTGGCTGCCGAGGCTGAGGCTGAGGCTGAGGCTGAGGCTGCTGTGGCTGCCGAGGCTGAGGCTGAGGCTGAGGCTGCTGCGTTGGCCGAGGCCGAGGCTGCTGCGGCTGCCGAGGCTGAGGCTGCTGCGTTGGCTGAGGCTGAGGCTGCTGCTGCTGCCGAGGCTGAGGCTGCTGCGTTGGCTGAGGCTGAGGCTGAGGCTACTGCGATGGCTGAGGCTGAGGCTACTGCGTTGGCTGAGGCTGAGGCTGAGGCTACTGCGATGGCTGAGGCTGAGGCTACTGCGTTGGCTGAGGCTGAGGCTGAGGCTGCTGCGATGGCTGAGGCTGAGGCTGCTGCGTTGGCCGAGGCTGAGGCTGCTGCGTTGGCTGAGGCTGAGGCTGAGGCTGCTGCGATGGCTGAGGCTGAGGCTGCTGCGTTGGCCGAGGCTGAGGCTGCTGCGGCTGCCGAGGCTGAGGCTGAGGCTGAGGCTGCTGCGTTGGCCGAGGCCGAGGCTGCTGCGGCTGCCGAGGCTGAGGCTGCTGCGTTGGAGGAGGGTGAGACCGAAGCTGAGGTCGAGGCAGAGGGCGAGTCTAGTGATGACGATGTGGCCGCACTCCTCGCGGCGGCCGACTCTGACTATGACGACGCCAGCCCCGCCCCCGCCCCCGCATCTGCCGATGCTGACGCCGAGAGCGATGGCGACGACGACGTGGCGGCACTCATCGCAGCAGCCGACTCTGATTCTGATGACGCCGCCCCCGCCCCCGCCCCCGCATCTGCCGATGCTGACGCCGAGAGCGATGGCGACGACGACGTGGCGGCACTCCTCGCAGCAGCCGACTCCGGCTCTGACGACGGCAGCCCCAAGCCAGTAGCCAACAATGCGACGCTGGCGGACCTTCCGGCGAGCCTTTCCGTTGCACAGGCTGCGCTGTTTGTGAGTGCGATGGGCTCGGACGAGTCCGAGGCTGCCGAGCTGGTCGAGAATGGCGTGGTTGCGACAGCCGAGCTAGTGGAGATGCTCGACGATCTTATGGGCGCTATGCCGGGCAGCGATGCCCGCACCAAGGTGCTGGCGGCGATTCCGGCCATGCTTGCGATCACCGAAGCGGCTGCATCTGCCGATGCTGACGCCAAGAGCGATGGCGACGACGACGTGGCGGCACTCCTCGCAGCAGCCGACTCTGATTCTGATGACGCCGCCCCCACCCCCGTCCCCGCATCTGCCGATGCTGACGCCGAGAGCGATGGCGACGACGACGTGGCGGCACTCCTCGCAGCAGCCGACTCTGATTCTGATGACGCCGCCCCCACCCCCGTCCCCGCATCTGCCGATGCTGACGCCGAGAGCGATGGCGACGACGACGTGGCGGCACTCATCGCAGCAGCCGACTCTGATTCTGATGACGCCGCCCCCACCCCCGTCCCCGCATCTGCCGATGCTGACGCCGAGAGCGATGGCGACGACGACGTGGCGGCACTCCTCGCAGCAGCCGACTCTGATTCTGATGACGCCGCCCCCGCCCCCGCCCCCGCATCTGCCGATGCTGACGCCGAGAGCGATGGCGACGACGACGTGGCGGCACTCCTCGCAGCAGCCGACTCTGATTCTGATGACGCCGCCCCCGCCCCCGCCCCCGCATCTGCCAATGCTGACGCCGAGAGCGATGGCGACGACGACGTGGCGGCACTCCTCGCAGCAGCCGACTCCGGCTCTGACGACGGCAGCCCCAAGCCGGTAGCCAACAATGCGACGCTGGCGGACCTTCCGGCGAGCCTTTCCGTTGCACAGGCTGCGCTGTTTGTGAGTGCGATGGGCTCGGACGAGTCCGAGGCTGCCGAGCTGGTCGAGAATGGCGTGGTTGCGACAGCCGAGCTAGTGGAGATGCTCGACGATCTTATGGGCGCTATGCCGGGCAGCGATGCCCGCACCAAGGTGCTGGCGGCGATTCCGGCCATGCTTGCGATCACCGAAGCGGCTGCATCTGCCGATGCTGACGCCGAGAGCGATGGTGACAACGATGTGGCTGCGCTTCTCGCAGCAGCCGGTTCCAAATCTGAAGAGGATACGCATGCTTCTTCGACTGTTGACGCTCGCCCTACTGCTTTTGACTCGACCCAGTCGGGCGACATGGCTGCGCTCCTCGCCACTACTGACTCAGACGCCGACGTCGCTGCGGCCGCTGCTGCGCTGGACATCGATGACACTACCACCGATTCTGACAGCATGGCCGCTCTTCTTGCCGGTGCCGACGAGTCTGGCGATGAGACCAGAATGTCGCTCGACGACCTTCCGCCAACCCTGACCATTGCCCAGGCCGCGCTGTTTGTGACCGCCATGGGCTCGGACCCGTCAGAGGCCACCGAGCTGGCTGAGAACGGCGTGGTTCAGACAGCCGAGCTGGTCGAGATGCTCGACGATCTCATAGGCGCCATGCCGGGCAGCGAAGCCCGTGACGAGGTTCGCGCAGCCCTGCCGGCCATCCTTGACGCTATCGACATCGACACCAACAGCGACGACGGCGCTTTGGCCCTGCTTGCTGGCGACTCTGAATCTTCTGATGCCACTGCGGCTGCAGCAGCCGCCGCTGTCGATGCCGACGAGACAGAATCGGACTCTGACGACGACGATGTCGCTGCCCTCCTCGCGGCCGCTGGCTCAGATTCCGACTCTGACGAAGATGGCGACGATGTTGCCGCGCTTCTGGCCGAAGGGTCGAACTCAGGTGATGACGCACTGGGTGCAACACTGGCGGACCTTCCGGCGAACCTCTCCATTGCCCAGGCTGCGCTGTTTGTGAGTGCGATGGGATCGGACGAGTCCGAGGCCGCCGAGCTTGCTGAAGGCGGCGTTGTGCCGACGGCCGAGCTGGTCGAGATGCTTGACGACTTTATGGGCGCCATGCCGGACAGCGATGCCCGCGCCAAGGTGCTGGCGGCAATCCCGGCTATGCTAGCTCTGGCCGACGAGCCCGCTGGCGAGCCAACAGTGGATTCAATCCGCGACCGGCTCGGTGGCGAGGGCGCGGCGTTGTCCATCAAGCGCGCTGCTGCCTTTCTCGTTGCCCTGGGCTCGGCTCCGGCCGACGCCGAGGATGAGGCGCGTGACAACTCGGAAGACGGGGGAGTCACCGTTCCGGTCGACGAGCTGATTGAGATGATGACCGACCTCCTGCCGCTCAAGGCCGACCTTCTTGACGTCGTCCACTCTGCGATGCCAACCGTTCTCGCAGCGGAGTAAAACAAGTGTTCTTTTATCCGGACGGCGTAGCAGCGCTGCCCTCGTTGGCAAGGCCGACGTGCTCTAGAAGCTCTCCCAGCCGGCGCTTGTACTCCCACGGTGAGCCCTGTAGCCGGCGGAACTTGAGACCGGAGAGTGCCAGATTGCGCACAAGGCAGATCTCGATGGTGAACGCAAGAGGCGTGGCTGAGACCGGGCTCATCAGCGACGACGGCGACATGATGTTGTCAAGCGAGGTCTGCGCCGGCGACGAGCTCGCCTCGCCGGAGAGCAACTGACCCAGCTCGGACGAGATGTGATAGCAGGAAAAGGTCCACTGCAAGTGCTCCACTACGTACTCGGACGAGAGCTCGGCAAGTTTGCTGCCCACATACTTGAGCAGATCAATCGGGGTGCGAGACGAGGTGGTCGACGCCGCCATGGCAAACCGTGGAGCGCGTGGAGCCCGGAGTGCCTCGTCGGCCGCTGCTGACGTCTCATGCAGGTTCACAGCCGAAAACGACATGTTGAGCGGGTTCGATGATGGCGTCGAGATGTGGACGCCCGCAAGGACTGGCGAGCCGACCACCACCTTTGGCGTGTTCCGGCCCGAGCTCTTGGAGCTCCGAGACGTGAGCAACGGCTCGCCGTTGTTGCGCGGCGTGAGCCGAGGCCGCGGCGACCGCGGCGACAGCTTTGTTGACTCGCCGAGCGCCGCCGAGAGCACCAAGTTGACCTCCTCCATGGTGGTGTTGAAGCTAGCCGGCGGCATGGCGTACTTGCTCGGCTTGCCACAGCTGTTGTTCGCAATCTGGTCGCCGGACATCTGATGCATGAGGCCAGAGATGTCGGCCTCGAAGACACCGGCGGCGTCGTTGTCGTCGTCAGAGTCGGGCCGCTCGTGTGCAGTGTCGGCAGAGTCCGACGCGGACTCCGAGTCCGAGTACGACGGCGTGCTTGACGAGCTGCAATGCGATCGGCTCCCGGTTGACGAAAACGAGCTCTGGGTCGAATGGGACGATGCCGAGCTCGAGCGGATCGACCGCACCCCACTCACCATACCAGCCAGCGCGCTCCACTCGGCCATGGCGGACTCGTCTGGAATGGCCTGCAAGGCGTCCGACGGTGACTTAAAGACGCCAGCAGGCGGGCTATTGTCGCGGATCCCCATCAGCGCAGGCGCTACGCCACGGTAGACCGGCGAGCCGACATTGTTAAAGTTAGATTCGAGGGTCGGGTGGACGGCGATTGACCGCCGCCGCGCAGAGCGCCCAGAAGGCGATCCGCCCGACGGCATCGGGAGCAAGGCCGGCTGCTGGAGGTGCGGGAAGGGCATGGCCGGCGAGTGATGTGTGCTTTCGTTGGAGAAGATCGGAGACTCGATGCGGCCGTGGCCCATCTGGCCAAAAACGTCGTCAAGGATGTTGTTGAGCTCGTCAGTCGAGCCAACAGAAACGTTTTCCGAGTCGACAGAAGCCGACGGCACTAGGACCGAGATGGGCGAGCCGAACATTCCCATCGACGACTCGGATTCAAACGAGGTGCCCGAGTCCTGGCGAGAAAAGACAAATATGGGCGATTGACCAGTCGCGCCCGTCGTGTTGCCATCGCGCGGCGAGGTAGCACGCGCGCCCACAAAGACTGACGATGGCGGCCGCATGCCCGACCCCGAGTTGATGCGCTTGATGAGCGAGGCCGAGCCAGTCAGCGATGACGATCGCTGCCGCCGCCGCCGCGCCAGCATTTGCTGGCGGAGCTGGATCGATTGCGGCGACGGCGTGAGCGTCGGCGGCCCGAAGCGGCCGTTTCCTGGCCCAGAGCGGCTGTTTGACGGCATCGCAAGCGGCGACGACGCACTGGCATGCTTGCCAAGGAGAATAAGCTCACTAAAGTCGGAGAGCGACGTTGCCGCCCGGAGGCGGCCCACCGAGCTCTGTGGCTTCGGCGTGTCGGGCACGTGCGGGGTCACCCATGGGTGCGCAAGAATCTGCGAGAGATTGAGCCGTGCCTCGGGTTCCTTGTGCAAGATGCCGCGGAGGAGCGAGGCCGCCGGAACCGGCACAAAGTCAAGGTCCTCAAGGATCTCCACAATGACTCGGTCGGCGTCCATCAGTGACGCAACGTCGTGCGGCGCGAGCGAGTCGCCAAACGGCAGCGCGCCCACAAGCATTGCAAACAGGACAACACCGAGTGACCACACATCCGCCAGCCGCGGGTCGTATCCGTGCATGGCCCGCGCTTCGGGCAGGTCCGGCAGCGAGACCACCTCAGGCGGCGCGTACCCAGGCGTTCCACACTTCTCGGTCACCCGCTGCCCGTCACAGAACAGGCAAGCGAGTCCAAAGTCATTGATCTTGACATTAAGATCATGGCCGGAGAGCAGGACGTTTTCGAGCTTGAGGTCGCGGTGCGCCACGCCGGAAGCGTGGCAGGCTGCCAGGCCCGACGCTAGCTGCGCAAACACCTTGGCCGCCATACCCTCTTTGAGGCAGCCGTGGACAGAGAGGTAGTCGAACACGTCGCCTGCGTCGCAGTACTCTAGGATGAGAAATTCGGTGTCAGGCGTCCGCACCACGTCGAGCAGCGCCACTACGTTGGGATGCGCGACTCGGGCCAGCGCCTCCACCTCAATCTCCAGGGTCCGTTTCTGCTCCGCGTTCAACAGCTTCGTCTCGACAGCCTTGATCGCCACCTTCTGGTTGCTTACCATGTGCTTGCCCAGCGAGACTACGCCAAAGGCACCCTATCCCCCCCCCCCCCCCCCCCCCTCCTGGAGAGAACATACCTTCCCCAACACCACATTATCCACTTCGTAGTTGGAGACTCTCATGCCAAAGCTATCCGCCGGTTGGCAGGCGACGGACAAGTGGTGGATGTATTGTCTTTAGCTGGTGGTCAGCTTGCGGTCGTGCCCCCCTTTCCACGTGGCGGGGATGGCCTGGCCTACCTCTCCCGCCTCTCCCGCACGCGTGCCGAGTTGAGAGGATTTGCGACCATGAGAATTGCGACCTTTTTTTGGGCAAGCCGTGCGACGAGGGCTTTCCAGAATGTCTTCCAATGTTTGCATGGGCGACGGGGCACAGGCATTGTGGGTGCGATGCACAGAGAGACTACGTGACGCACACCCCCTACTATGGAAGACATACTAGTCATGTTGCCGAGCAGTCTCCACCAAGGCCACTGCTCCCCCATTCGCAGGCACATCGCCGGAATGGTGCCGATACCAAGCCAATACCCAGCAGCGGCTGTGGAGCATGTTGTCGAATGGATGTGGGAGCCAAGAACACGATCCCATGTCCTTCCGTACCGCCCGAGCACCCCATCGGCAGATGCAGCGCGTGTCATGTAGCTGGTGTCCATCGACCGGAGTGAGTGTTGCCGCGACTGCTACGAGTCGCTAACTCGGCTGAGCGATGCAAAGTGGCTAAGAGCTCCGATGGCGTCTGACATAATCAGCTCCGACGGAGCGGGAACCCACCCGCCAACCCTTTGATGACGATGCGCGACGACGACGACAGGCGGACTTCTGGGCGCCCAATTCTTACCTTGATATCGTGTGTATGCGAGCTATCGATGGGCGCTCATAGACACGCGGATCACCGTGCCAATCGGCACGATGTGCTGGCAGAGATGGTCAGCACAGTAAATGCGAGGAAATGTCAAGCCAGCAGAGCGACCGCTCGGCCGGCAACCGAGAGTGTTGCCCGCTCAACGATGTGACCTCAGCACGATTGCGAGGAGGCAGTCGGTGACAGCCGGGCGGGCGGCCTGGGGCTGAGGGGCCGGAGCCGTGGCGGGACAGACACCACTCGCAGCGGTCAAGCAAGCGAGTATAGGCATGGGCAGGAGAGTAGCTAGAGAGAGCGTCGCGGTTGTGGTGGGTGTGGTGCTGTGCATGGTGGCTATGGCTGTGGGAGGAAGCGTACCGGCGCAGTGGGGCACGTACAAGTCCAACCTCTTTGCAGCCGTCTCCACCTCTGAGCCATCACCGGCTACTGTGGGCATGATGTGGTGGTCTCCGACTCCGCTGCGCAATGTCCTCTCTCCGCGCCATGCTACTACCGAGGATGGTATGGGGATGTACTCGTGGACAGCTCACAATGGTGCTGACTATGCCCATCAGTCGCTCGTCGACAACACCATGGGCTACGCTCTCAACATCTCGTTCATCCCGGCGGCTGAGTCACCGGATCCGCTCGCTCCGCGCGCCATCCGCATCGCTGGTACCCCGCTGCTGGGTTTCCCTAGCGACGCTCCGCTCTCTATTGTCCTCTACCTGTCGTCGGTCGACGGCGTTGCTGACTTCTCGGCAGACTCGCGCGCGTCCATCAAGAAGGCCGGCCGCAGCTGGCACGCCGAGCCGACGGTTCTCCACGGCTCATCACCGGCCTTCCCGCACATCACCGTCGTCGTCCCGCCGCGTAACGTGGCCAAGGCCTTCCCGGTCCCGGGCAAGATCCGCAACGCCAAGCGGATGCGCGCGCGCGACCCGAGTAAGATGGCGGGAGCCACGCTCACCCTCCCTCCCAACGAGGTATGGCAGGTTGTCGAGGCCGTCAAGGGCCAGCTGCGCGACAGCGCCATGGCCACGCTTACCGCCAAGGCACGGGCCATCGACGCGGCTGCCGCCAAGGCTGGTAAGCCGAACAAGGTCCGGACACAGGCGAACCGCGTCGCTCCGCCTGAAGGCCTTGTACCGACGCTGTCCAACACGCTTGCCGGCCCAGGAGCTTCCAACGTGGCGCTTGTCCAGATCAACGCGGCGGGTGCCTTTGAGCTTGACGTTGTTGTTCTGCTCACACCAGAGGCAGCTTCCGCGTCCGACGCTGATGCGTTGGCAATGGCGCGCGAGACAGGGCTGGTGGGCCAGGGCCTCACGTCTGCGCTTGATGCTGCGGCCGAGACCTTTGATCGCGAGTTTGAGGAGCGCTACGGGCTGGCGGCTGCCGGGTACACTCCGCAGTATGTCCAGGTGGCCAAGGCTGCGCTCTCAAACCTGGTCGGCGGTCTCTCGTACTTTCATGGCGCCTCGCGGATCCGTTCCGCGCCCAGCGACAAGATACGGCCTGTTTTTGGACCAGAGCACGAGCTTTTGACCTGTGTCCCGTCGCGGTCTTTCTTCCCGCGCGGATTCATGTGGGACGAGGGTTTCCATCAGCTGGTCATGTCGTCGTGGAACGAAGAGCTCTCGCAGCGGGTTCTCGGATCGTGGCTAGCGTCGATGGACAGCGAGGGATGGATTGCCCGCGAGCAGATTCTAGGCCCGGAGGCCGAGTCGCGAGTGCCGGAAGAGTTTATGACCCAGTTTCGGGTGTACGCCAACCCACCCACGCTCCTGCTCCCGCTGGCCAGCATGCAGGCCCGCCTGCATGCTGCGCTGGACGAAGCCGCGGCCTCGGGATTGCCGGCATCGGGCGATGCCGAGCTTCATGACTCGCTTGCCTTTCTCCGGCACGCGTACCCGCTTGTGGCCCGCCAGTTTGAGTGGTTCAAGTCGACCCAGGCCGGGAGCCTCCCGCACACCTTCAAGTGGCAGGGCCGGACGACCAACCACACACTCACGTCGGGGCTCGACGACTATCCGCGGGCGCCGATTGTGTCGCCGTTTGAAAAGCACGTTGACCTTGCGTCGTGGATGGTGCTTGCGGCGCGGCTGCTCGCGGATATGGCGCGGGTTTTGGACGACGAGGCTGCAGCAACGAGCTACGAGGCGCAGGCCACCTCGATTCTCACCACGTTGCACAACGTGCACTGGAATGAGGCTGCCGGTTACTACTGCGACACTGGCCCAGACGGGACTGGATCTGTCCATGACGAGATGCAGGTGTGCTTCCTGGGGTATGTGTCGCTCTTTCCGCTGCTGACCGGCCTCCTCGAGGCCGACGACCCGCGGGTCGGCCGGCTCCTTGACCACATGGCCGATCCCGACACGCTGTGGAGCCCCGGCGGAATTCGCTCGCTCTCGGCCACCGACCCGTACTACGGGACCGGTGAGAACTACTGGAAGGGACCAGTGTGGATGAACATCAACTACATGGCGCTCGCAGCGCTGGCCAACAAGTACGCGGTCGACGAGGGCCCGCATCGTGCACGGGCGCAGCAGATTTACGCTTCGCTCCGCGCCAACGTTGTCGATACTATTGTGTCCAACTACATCGAGACCGGATACTTTTGGGAGCAGTACTCGCCGACTAACGGCGTCGGGCAGCGGACTCACCCGTTCGCAGGATGGACCACGCTAGTTGTGCTCATCATGGCCGAGGAGTATCCGCCCATGTAAGGGCCGGCGGCCACGGCGGGGTGGCCACCCACGAGAACAGCATCAGGAGCAGCTCGTTGGGCAGCCGCGGGAGGGCGCACGTTGCCTCGTACCTGTATCGCCCACGACCCGCATCCCATCCTGCCCGTGCAATGAACAACAGCGTTCGGATGGCGGCGCGGACTCGCGCCGGGTAGAGGCGGAAGGTAGCCGGCCGCCAGCCAAGGCGACCGGCGAGGTGGGCGTGGGGATGGCCGGGAGCCATCACACCTTGGACTGCATACACCAAATGAGTATCAAACGAGGAGACAATGAGGTTGCCGCGGCCGTCGCTGGCGGTGAACATGGGCGAAGGCGTACGGTCCGCCGCCAGCGGCTTGCCGCGCGCGCCAGAGCTTCCGGTGCCTGCCACAGTGGAGACGAGGCCCGGGCCAGTCTCGGCAAGCAGCACGATGCGGCGAATGACCTTGTTGTAGCGATCGGCGACAAGGAGTGCGCCATCGCCGTCCATGGCCAGACTCGTCGGCATGTCGAGCCGGGCGTCTGGGCCTAGACCGTCGACGTGGCCGGCAACAGTGCTGCCGGCCACCAGCGAGACGTTGCCGGAGGCGAGATGCAGCGCCAGAACACGATGAAAGCACGAGAGGTAAAGCACATCGCTTGTCTGTGACAGTACTAGGCCATCCGGATAGTGAATGTCCGGAGCAGTGAGACCCGAAGTGTCGAGACGGAGGCGGGCGAGCGAGGCGCCCGGCTCGCGCCAAGCGGTAGCGGCGACGACAGCGGCGGCGTCGGGATGTGAAGCAAAGACGGTGCCTGTGAGCGGGTCGTGGGCAAGTCCAAAGAGCATGTTCGACTTTGGTGGGGCAAGGACGCTGTCGTCGAGCGGGTCGTCGACCGAGACGGACTGCTCGCTGCTTACCCCGGGCGGCGGTGCGGCAAGAGCGTCGTCCGCCAGGGCGACGAGAGCATGGCCTGGCGCCGACGCGTCGGTCGCGATGGGGCCAGCAAGGCTGGAGGGCACGGCCATAACCTCAATGCCTCCATCAATCGCCTTGAGAAGGTACCCGTCGAGAAGGAGGAGGTCGTTGCCCTTGGTCTGCGACGGATGCGTCTCCCAGCGCCCGTCCGGCCAGACGACGGCGATACGGCTGGCGCGAGTGTCGTTGATGGCGACGGCGCGCGAGTTGGGGTCGACGGCCACCCCGCGCGGCGCAGCGAGGAGCCGATCGCGTTCATGGTGCGAGATAGTGTCGTTGGGGCTGGTGTAATACCGCGGCTTGCCGAGAATGCCGGCGATAGTCCGCGATGACGTCGCCATGCCTGCCAGCAGCCAGAGAGACAAGTGGTTGTTCATTGACGGCCGACGCCGAGCAGCACACCATCGGCAGGCTGCATGGCCCACATGTCAGCGACTTCAAGGGCTACGTGGGAGGCGAGACTGTCGGCGAAGATCGAGAGCAAGGTTGACGATGGGAGGGTGGGGTAGATGCGCGAGGTGATGCGGGCGGTGCCAGTGGCGGCAAAGACCTCGACGATCGAGTTGTCGAGGACAATGCGGAGGTCGACGCGGCCGGGCGCCGCCGCAAGGAGCGGAAGGATACCCGAGTTGGGCGAGGTCTCTTGGTCGGGCGCAAGCGATGTGCGCGCGCGATCGACAAAGACCAGCGGGCGCCAGCCAGAGACGGTGGAGGAGGCGGTGGGCCGCGGGACGCCCGTGAGCGAGTACAGCTCGCATGAGGCGTTGGCGAGCCAGGTCCACCCAGCGCAGAGCTCAAACTGAGCACATGCTTTGCCACATGATCTTGGATCGGCCACCGATGCCAGGCGCTCGTACGGAGTAGCGTGAGGAAACGTGACTCCGGGCATGCCGGCGGGCGGGGAGGCAAGCGCGATACCGACGCGGGTGACTTCAGCAAGGGTGGGCGAGGCGCGGACGTTAACGCCAAAGATCTCGGGACGAGTCGTGTTGGCAGTCGAAGCAAGCGAGTGGGGCACCATAAACGAAGCCACAAAGTCGGCGGTAGCACCCTCGAATCCGGGCGGGAGGTCGGCGGCGGGTGCCGAGACGGGAAAGACGATCGGCGATGTCACGGCGGCGTGCGACGACGCCACGCGCAGGGCGTCGAGGGCTGGGATCGGAGTGGCTGCGAGGAGCGGTGAGCCAGAAGCTGCGAGGACATGAGAGAGGCGCCGCGGAATGACGTGGACGCCGGCCCAGCCGCGTGCGACTTGCGAGGCTTGCGAGTCGCCCTCGGACGACCAGCCGAGCTGAATGCGTGCGTGCGAGAGGGGATCGGTGAACGACTTGGAGGCATAGACCTGGCCAAAGTCGACAACGCCATGGACAGCTGGCACAAAAGGTTGCCCGGGGCGAAGCGAGGCGCCAAAGTAGTAGTGATCGCCGTAGCCGAGAGCGCGCGACGAGACCTTGAGAACCGCCAGATGGTCGAGGGCAAACGGGTCTGGGCACTCCCAAATGGCGCCGTCGAGGATCGAGGAGTCTGCAGCAAGTAGAACGTCAAGATAGTGCATACCGAGTGGTGATGGGTAGTGCGGGAGGGCGTAGCGGAGGGCCATGCCCTTGCCCGACTCTGCGCCTGCGCCGAGGACCACAAACGGCGGCGCGCCGTCGCCCAGAACCAGCGGCTCAGTCGGATCGCGAAAAGCGGTGTCGTTGCCAAGGACGGGAGGGAGAGGGCGCGCGGCGACTAGCGGGTTTGCCGGCGCCTTGGTCCACACCTCTAGCAGCGGATCCGAGGCGTTGATCGGGGTAGCAACGTCGACCGACTCTGCCTCTGTCAGTGGGCGGCCGGCGGCGACACCAGTGTACAGAACAGCGATGGATCCATCTGGAGCAATGACGGCAGAGCCAGTAAAGACACCTGCGGCATCGTACGGCTCTGACGGAGCAAGAGCAATGGGCAGATAGTCCCAGTGGATGAGATCGGGCGAGACGGCGTGACCCCAGTGCATGTCGCCCCAGACGGAGGCCTCCGGGTTGTACTGAAAGAAGAGATGATAGAGACCGGAGCGGGCGTCAAAGAGCGGAGCGCAAGGATCGTTAATCCAGTGCTTTGGCGGGCGGAAGTGGAAGATGGGGCGCGCATCGACCTTTGCGCTGGCTGTGGCAGTGGCAGTGGCAGTGGCTGTGGCGGCCATCACCAGTGCCAGCGCCATCAATGTGCGCAGTGCATTGAGGCGGAGAAAGCAGATGTCAAGCGACATATATATGTGTGTGTATGTGTGTGTGTATGTGTGGTGTCGAGTGGTGTGTGTGTATGTGTGGTGTCGAGTGGTGTGAGTGGGGGTGGCAGGAGTGGCGGGAGTGCTGTGGGCAACATCGACGACTGCGTGCGTCACGCGACCGGACTGCGGCGAATTCCATCTGAGAGCAGTATGATAAGGGACAAATGTTGTATGTAGTGAGCGGGTGGACATGGATGATCTGAGGGCGATGATGGTTAATATGTGGGTTGGGTGGACGATGAAGCGAGCAGTGTTGGCGGAGGGTGACCCCGATCCCGATCCCGACTCCCGACCTCGATCCCGATTCCGATCCCGACCCCGATCCCGATCCCGACCCCGACCCCAATTCTGATCCCGACCCCGACCCCGACCCCGACCCCGATCCCGACCCCGACCCCGACCCCGACCCCGACCCCGACCCCGATCCCGACCCCGACCCCAATTCCGATCCCGACCCCGACCCCGACCCCGACCCCGACCCCGATCCCGACTGGGCACAACCTGACTCCACCCCGCGCCCTACCACCACCACCACCACCACCACCACCACCACTACCACCGCACCACTACCACCACCACCGCACCCACTACCACACTCACTACCACCACACTCACTACCACCATACCAAACCAACACAGTACATACCAGGGACGTATGTCGACACCTCCGCCCGCCCCACCTCCGTTGCCGGCGGGAGTCCTGGGTACCGTTATGGAGGAGGGCTCGGCGGCTGCGGAGCCTTCGGGTATGGCGCCCAATGGCGTACTCACTGCGGCACAGCAGTCAAAGCTCGATGAGGATCTGGTACGTGGTGTGGATGGAGACGACGTGCTGTGTTTGTTGTGTGTGTTGTGTGTGGGCGTGTGCGGGCGTGCGCGGGCGTGTACTGACTATGGTGTGTGATGGTGGTCGTGATGGCATGGTCGCTGGCCATGGTGACGGCACGGGTGTGGTGGCCATGGTGACGGCATGGTCGCTGGCCATGGTGACGGCACGGGTGTGGCCATGGTGACGGCACGGATCACGGCAATTATGGCGGTGGTCGCGGTCGCTGGTCGTGGCGACGGCACTGGCTGGATGGCAACTGTATTGCTGATGACGCCCACCCGTTCGGGCTCGATCACACGTACAGATTCAAGTTCGACTGGAGAACGAGCGTTACTTGCGGAAGCACCCCGAGCTACACGCCATGCTTGACGTCTTTTCCCAGCGTGTACTGAGAGAACGCCCGAGCGATCTGTCCAGCTTTGCGGCGTCCTTCTTTTCCGATCCAGACCTGCAGTCCGTGGTAGAGGACAGTATGCAGTAGTCACCCACCAAGTCAGGGCACGGCACTGATCTGCACGGCCCTGCACTATGCCGTACAGGTCGGTGCGGCTTAGCACGACTTGGTCAGGTTAGGCTGTCGAAATTGACCAGTTCATGCCTACCTGTCAATCTCCCGCATCCATCAGCTGTGTTGCCCAAACTCATCAGCCCATCTCCTTCTGTGTCACCTGGCGCCCTTAGGGACGTTAGCACTCTCAAGTGACCGCGACGGTATCGATTGTCGATCGCGGGTCTACGAGACATGCCTAGCTCTCCCTAGCGGCGGCATGGTATGTAACCCCCCCCCCCCCCCTTGTCTTTGGGTTAGCGGGTCAAACCAGGGATATTGAGGTGGTCACCCGCACCACCTGTCGCCAGCGTGACCCCCCCCCCCCCCCCCCCTCCCCCCCCTTCACCCCTACACGTCTTACCTTTTCACGCGGAGAGTGAGGGTATCTGTTTGTGTCGTCGAGAATCCTCCCCGCGCATACCCTTGCCCATCGGCACAAAGTCTTCTGAGCTGCGGGTGAGCAGAAGAGCGTCAATTTGGTGACCAACCTTTACATCGGCCTCAACCCCCACATCGACCATGTCTGAAGCAAACGTGACTTCTGGCATGGTGTATCTCTCCCCGTCGTGGTCGTCACGCAAATGGTATGTCATACGCTTCGCTAGCGTGAGCAGGGTGGTGGGGGGATGTGTGGGGTGCGGCACCCGCAGACGCAGGTCATCGGTAATTGGCGCGGACTAACGCCTTTCAAAATATTGGTATGTGTCAACAGGATTCCTCACGCCATGCATGTCTGCGGGTCAACGGTTACGCTTGTCCCGTTACACCACAAGGCCGAGACTGCCATGTGTGTTGACCTTAGGGAGTACCATGTCATGCCGCATGATGCTGCCGGGGCGCCAGTTGACTCGGCTGGGTTTATGCTCCGGCATCCTCAGAATCAGAACGGAGATGTCCTGCTCTCGGGACGCAGCGAAGACGAGGCCAAGGAGTGGATCCGGGTCCTCGCGGCTGCACCCAACCAAGACCAGCCACCTCGGATCACAACAGAGGCACCCGCGGAAGGCGCTGCTACGCCCAGGAGCCCGCAGACTTCCTCGCTCCTCCTCCCCCTGCCCGGATGGGTGCTGGACGCTGCCTCCCACTACCCCGCCGATGCCAACGTGTTGCTCGAGAACAACAAGCTCTCACTCGCGTGGTACCGCCTGCACTTTGCCCAAACCTCACATGCCAACTTCCTCGGCGAGAACGTGAATGAGAAGGGTGAACACGTGGTGATTTCGGTCATGAGGTCGGGCGAGCGACGGATCCGTGCCATCGTGTGGACAACGGCGAGCGTCACACCGCTGGAGATTGCGACCACCAAGAAGTTCAAGTCGTTCAAGCGTGACCTCAAGACAGTCCTCCTCGAGTTTGATCCCCAGGGCCTGGGCAAGAAGCACAGCAAGTTTCGCAACGTCACCGGCAGCCGCGTCGCCAACGCACTCGTGCGAATCGAGGACGCGCTCTTCCCGCGACAGCTCGCAGTCACCGTTCTTTTTGCACGAGCCGACCAGCAGTACTCATCGCAAATCCTGGGCAACTCTGTTGTGCTCGACAGCAGCAACGAGGACGTGGACGCCCAAGGCGACCAGACGGGTTCCAGCGACGGCATCGCCGCGTTCAAGGACTTTCTCTCACTCCTAGGCACCGAAGTCGAGCTCAATGGCTGGGACGGCTACGCCGGGCAGCTCGACACGTCGGCGGCGGCGCGGACGGGCAAGACGTCGTACTTTACCACGGTCGGCGCCACTGACATCATGTTCCACGTCGCGCCACTCATTCCGGGCTCACAGATCCGGCGTGCTGTGCGGCTCAAGGCCAACATTGCGGCCATTGTGTTCTTGGAGAGCGCGAACACGAGCGTCCAGCTCGATCTGATCATGTCATCGCGGACGTGCACAATCCTGGCGGTGGCTCCGAGCCCATCCGTTCCGGGCGCGTACATCTGCCAGACCGCACGGCGGCGCGAGGCGACCGGGCACTCGTGCCTCCCGAGTGCAACGGCATACCCGGCGGGCCATCCGTCACTCGCCGGCGCGCTGCTCGCGTCGCTCGTTAACGGCATCCATTCTGCGTTGCGGAGGTTCCCGGTCCTTGTTCGTGAGCTGAGCAACGTCCGGCGTGCTGTGTACGAATCGCTGGTCATGGCGGTTTCTACTTCCTCGCCCGGGTTTGAGCTCGGCCCATCGTCGGGCAATCCAGTTGATGTCGCAAGCATGCGCGTGCTGGCGCCCATCATTGGTGCCAACAAGAGCGGGGCACGTCGCTCGGCCGTCCGCCGCGCCCTCGGCCTGGCCAAGGTGGCCGTGCAGACGACGCCTGTCGTTTCGTACAAAACGTCCGTATTACCGGATGGGACATTTGGGACAACATGGTGTACTTTGCCGATGTGCGTGGCCTCCACACCCACAACGTCCTCCAGTCGGTTTCTGCGTCTCGGACGCTCGTCTCGGGTGCGATTTCTTCGTTCCGCATTGTGCGTTCGCTCGGCGTTGTCATTTTCCGTGGCGGTGTGGGCAAGCGCGCGGCCAAGACGTCGATCCAGTACGCGTACCTCTCAAGCATCGGACCGGCGGTTACACACACGCTGGACAAGACCAAGAGCGCAACGTGCTTTGACATGCTCGTCACCAAAGGCGGGACGGCGATGCTGGCCGTGGCAGTCAAGTCGACCATCCGCATTTTTGAGTGGGTCCATGGCCTCTTTGTCCTCTCGACCACGCTCAAGCTTGAGCAGCGCCCAATTCGGGTCTCGTTCTTCTCGTCCGGGCGGCTCTCGCTCGTTCTTCCCTCGGGCTTTATCGTCATCCACCCTGTCACTGGCAAGTACTGCAAGCTTTTGGCCGAGCCTCAGGCTGAGGATGAGATTGCCATTGGCGACAACGCACAGACCACCGAGCTTGACTTGGATGAGCCGTCGTCGCACGTCCTCATCACTTCCCGGTTTTCTTCGGTCCTCATTGACGCCGACAGCGGGCGGAGCGCGCACAGCATCATGCCGCACATCTCGTGGATTCGCGCACCGCATCGCATTGCCACGCTTGGGCCGCATGTCATTGGCATCTCGGGCGCCTCGATCGAGGTTCGGCTAGCGTGCAGCGGCGCGTTCATGCAAGCCACCGACTTGCCGCAACCAATCGTCGCGCTTGTCTCGACGGGTGACTCGCTGTTCTTGGCCTCGGCGTCCGGCAAGACCAAGTCCGCCACCGTGTACCAAGTGTATCTTGCGCCGACTCTGCTGCCGATTGCGACTCGGCTCGCTGTCCGCGATCCTGCTCCTTGTGACGCCGCCCCACACACTGACTCGACTCCATGGCTCTCGTGCGTGGTCGAGCCCGAGACGTTTTCGTCGAGCCAGACGTCGCAGGTCTCATCGACCACATTTGCATCGACTCGGTCATCGCTTGAGACCTTGTCGCAGCACTCGGACAACTCCTCACTAGAAAAACTCGTCGGCGACGAGCTGCTGAGCTCTGGCGAGTCTGGAGATATTTCCAGAACGATCGACGCACTCCTCGACAACGGCGCCAGTCACTTGTACAACTTGACGGACGCCACCTTCTCTGCCACAGCATCATTATCCGCGATGCGGCGTCACTCGACGTGTGAGAGCCATCCGTCGTCTTGGCGTGGCACCAGCAGCAAGCTTGAGAATTTGTCGTCGTCCCAGAAACACGCGATCGAGGCGTCCGGTGAAAGCGAGGCTCCGCGCGCTGCTGCATCTGATGACCTGTCGTCACTAGCGGCGACAGAGGCAGACAAGCAAGTTCCCAATTTAGTGCAGGATGCCGACTCGGCCATTGATATGTCCTCGTCGACCAGCTACAACGCGCCGCAACTCGCGCTCATCGGCCCAACTCCACGAAAGCAGGCCTCGCCACCGACGACCGGCGTGTACTCTGTGGCCAGCTCGACCACATCGAGCATGTTATCGGGCGCCTTGCTCTCCCTTTCGTCGGTCCCGCGCACATTTCGGGTCTCTATCGATGCCCTCAACTCGGGCGGTGGGTCATCCTTCTCCGCCAATCCGAGCGAGAGCGACTCGGAGTCTGACAGTTCACACTCTACCATAAAGCGATAGGCAGCATGTGGTTTGATGGCGGCTAGCGTAGGGCTGGCCAGGTCGGGCGCTCTCGTTGAACGATGTGTCATTCTGTTGCCGCTGTCCGGCCGGCCCAAAGCTATCCACTTGCCCCGCCAGACCAGTGACCGAGACACACCCGTCTCGGCACGACCCAGAGTGACCCAGGCGAGGCAGGGTAGGACAAGGGCAAGGAGGCAGCAAACAGGAGCTACATACAAGTATGGCACCTCGGAGTCGGGCGCGAACCCGGTCGAACATGCCGTCTGGAAGCAGGGCGCGGAAGCTGGCATCACCCATGGATAGCTCGGCCAGCTCAACCGCAGGCCGGTCGTGGACGCTAAACGAGCACGTCCTCTTCGTCATCGGATTGGAGGTCTTTGGCCGCGGAGACTGGCGATCCATCGCCACCAAGTACGTGCGGACGCGGAACCCGTCGCAGGTCGCCTCGCACGGGCAAAAGTACTACTCGCGCCAGAAACGCATCACCTCGGGCAAGATTGTCTCGTCGACGGCAAAGTCGGACGAGTCGCTCCACTGGGCATGCACTGATGTCAATATTGTCGACATTCTTGCCAGCCGCGATGCGGAAGGCCCACCCAAGTCGCTGCTCTGGTCCTCGCTTGTCAAGTACGTCCACTCGCCGGCTTATCTCAACGCCGTCACCGAAGATGACGACCCGAACAAGCCTAAGATGTGGTCGCGGACCGAGCACGCCCTCTTCCTCCTTGCCGTCGAAGACTTTGGCGCCGGCGCCTGGGACCAGATTGCAGACTATCTTCCGCGCCGCACCATCCAGCAGATCAAGACACACTCGCGCAAGTTCTACCGTCAATCGCGCGCCCGCGCAAAGAAGCGGGCCGCACAGGCTCAAGCTGCGGCAGAAGGCAAAGTGCCCAAGCGCAAGTCGCGCGGCACCGCTCTCCGCCGTTCCGTCTTTGACATCGACCTTGACTCCCTCAAAATCCAAGAGAACACCGATGATCTCGACATCATCCGCGCCAAGTACCTTGCCCTCCGCGACACGCCCGACGACGTGCCCGAGCCCATCGCCTTTACCCGCGCCCTCGACGCCTCGCGCTACTCGGCACTGCTCATGCGGCTCTCAAAGTCCAATATCGCCAAGCTCACCTACTCGGAGGTCCCATCGTCTATGCCGCTACCACCCGGCATGGAGCATCCGCATGTTCCGGTCATTCCGGCACCGTTTATCTCAGCGGAGACCCAGCAGACGATGCAGGCCGCGTTTGCCGCGGCTGCTGCTGCTGCTGCTGCTGCCCCCGGTATGCCGCCGCCAGTTGCCCCGCCCCCCGTCTCACATCCGTCCGCACGCCCATCGCTGCCATTGAGCACACCGCCGCCCGCCGTGCCCGACCGTGTGCCCGCGGGCGTGGCGGCCAACCGCGTCTCGATGGCTGTCGTGCCCGAGCGCAGACTCTCGGTCTCGTCGCTCAAACGCAAGCGCGCGCCCGAGTCGTCAGACAAAGCTTCACAGCTGCGGATGGAGGAGGATCTGTTACTCTCACTGGCCAAGCGGTCCAAGCCGTTGCCGCCGACCGAGCTCCAGCGCCATCGCTCGAGCCCGGCTTCAGCTATGGGTCCGCCGGCACAGCCGGCCTCGCGCCCGCGCTCCCAGGTCGGCTCTGGAACGCAAACGCCCGTCACTGCCGCTCTCGGCCTGCCGCCCTTCAGCAGAGATGTCTCGCTCGGCCACGTCCCATCGACTGGCGACATCCCGACGGAGCTCAGGGTACTCACCGACGAATCAGCCCGGCTGTCGAACCCCAACATCTCGATCTCGGCCGTTTCGGACGTGCTCCGGCAGACGTACCCCGAGTACGCCATGGGCATGGCGACGTCGTCCTCGCACTCTCTCGGCCACGTTCCTATTGCCGCCACTTCGAGATCGATGGCTGTTTCGCCCATGAATCAGTCCATCGCCATGGACGCCAACGCCCTGCCGCGCACTCTCCCTGACGCGTGGGTCCTCTCATCCAACTCGACAGAGTTCCGCTCAGTCGCCGGCGGCGCTAGCGAGTCACAGGCCGCATCGCAGACCGAGTCACCGGCGGCGATGACTACCTCGGCGTAGGGGTTAGTTTCTACGCGCACGCTTTCGGCGTCGGCTGTGCCGCACCTCCGCCTCTCTGCGCCGGCGTACGCCTCGTCGATGGCTAGTGGCGCACTCACTGTGTCACTGGCCACCGCCTTCCACCCCCATGAAACACGCTTGTGTCATTGCGCGTCGAGCTACATGCATGCACCCTACACATTCACTCGGCCTTGGCCTTCTTCGATGCGGCCTTCTTGGCCTTGCGTGCTGCGCGTGCGGCCTTGGCGGCCTTCTTGGCCTTGGCGGCAATAGCGGCGCGCTTGCTCGCCGGGATGGCGTGGTCGTCAACGGCGTCGTAACCCTTGGTGCTGGCCTTGTTGCCCGACTGGGCCTTCTTGGACTGCGGCTTGGGCGCCTCCTGGCCGCTAAAGCCGCGGAGAATGGCGTGACACTGTTGCACGAGCGGGGCCGAGGTGTGGGTGGCGAGAATATCGTCGACGTTCGACTCGATGGCGTTGAGCGTCTTCGAGTCCAGCTCGGGCTCGGCATCGAACGCCTTGAGCTCCTTGCTGAGACAGAGTCTGGCCTTGGTTGCCGACTTGAGGACGCCGCGCACGGCGTTCGTCTTGTGCTCCTTGGCAGCGAGGAGCGCGGCCGAGCCAAACCACTGGGCGAGCTTGGTGTAGGTGGCGGAGCAGATTTTGGTCCGTGGCTCGGCGTCGAGGACGCGCGCAACCATCTTGGACATGCGGACAAGCGAGACGGTGAGGTCCAGAAAGTCGCGGAGGATGCGGAGGTTGCCACACTTGCCAAGGAGGGAGACAATCTCCGGGAGCTTCATGTACGGTGCCGTGGGGAACGAGGTGAAGAGCTTCTGGAGGAAGACCTGTGCGTCGTGGACATGGCGCTGGCCGGAGCGAACAAGCTCGGTCATCATCTGGACAAGCATGCCACCAAGCTTGTCGCACAGCTCCTCGCGCTCGCAGCACGACGGCGCGGTGGTGCGGGCACCAAGCCAAAGAATGAGCTTGCTCGCTTGCTCGCGGACGTGGCGCGAGCGGGCGCTGTTGTTCTTGCCAAACAGTGTCGAAAGAATGACCGAGGCCCGGAGCGCAGCCTCGGGCGTGCTGATCACCACCTTGACCTTGACAAGAACGCCGATAGCGGTCGAGATGGCGTTCGTCAGGTCGCTGTTTGCATTGCCAAGGCCCTTGGTCGCCGTCAGCCCGTCCATGAGAGGGAGCACGAGCTCGAGGACAAGCGGCGTCGGCGGCATGGCCTTGACCAGAGCCGTCACAAACTTGATGACCCGCATCTTAAAGTGGATGTAGCCAATGACCTTCTGCTCCTGTGCCCGCTTACGGTACTTCTTGTTCGACGACTTGAAGACCTGCGAGAGAAGGTCGTCGATGCGCAACATCTCCTCGTCAGTCGCCGCTGGAAGCGAGGCCGACGACGACGACGACTCGGCGCCATCGTCCGAGCCATCGTCCGAGTCTGAGCCTGAGCCCGAGCCCGAGCCTGAGCCCGAGCCCGAGCCTGAGCCCGAGCCCGAGCCTGAGCCCGAGCCTGAGCCCGAGCCTGAGCCCGAGTCGGAACCCGAGCCAGACATGTTCTTGAGGCCCGACATATCGACGGCCTCACTGGCCTCGTTGGCATCCATGCCGAGGGTGTGTGCCAGCTCGGGGTTGTTGGCAGCGTGGCGAAGAATGAGCTGGCGGCGCATGGCGGCCTCGTCATCGGCCGAGAGACCCGGCATGCCAGCAATGCGCGAGGCCTTGATCGAGTTGTCCGAACCGTCGTCACTTGCCGAGGCGGACGCGTCCGACTCGTCGTCATCTGAGCCGATCTCCATGTCGTCCATGTTGTCCTCAAAGTCGACGTCGCCGCCATCGTCCATCTCGTTGAGCGCCTCGGCCACGTTCTGCGAGATGACGCCGGCAAAGATGTCGAGGGCACCGGCGTTAACGACGGGGCCGAGCATGGGTGCAATGGTGAGGGCAGCCGTACGGACAAAGGCCAGGTCCGAAGCGTTGATGGCAACGATGGCGTCGGCGATGACATGGAAAGGGTTCGGCTCGTCCTTGCTCGTCGGCCCGAACGGGAGCTTGGAGAGGATCTTCTTGGTCGGCTTGGCGTTGGCCAGCAGCTGGACGGTGGCCTGGGCCGTGTCGCGGAGGACGTCAACGAGATCCCGAGACGGTGCGACGGCGAGGGCCACACCGAGAGCGAGGTTGAGGGAGTGGAGGGAGTGGAGGGCGCACACAACCGAGTGGTCGATCTTGGAGCGGCCAAAGAGCTTGGAAAAGGCATGCGTCGTTGTGGCGGTGAACGGGGCGACCGAGGTGACCGAGTCGAGGACAGCGAGGGCCGATTCGGCAGCGGCATCAGCAGCAGTGCCGGAGACAGACATGACATTGTCGATCGAGGTAAGAGTGGGGAAGACGGCGCCACGGAGGGTGTCGAGCGCAACGCAAACCCACAGCTCGTCATGCGCCATGGAGACACCCACAAAGCGCTCTGACCAGGTCCGGGCCGACCACTTGGCCTCGTGCGAGGTCTCCTCGACAAACGCCACAGACATGAGGATAGAGAAGACGGCGCGGATGGCGACAGTGCGGATGGCCGGCGTGACGAGCATCGAAAAGATGGCCGAGACATCGCGGGTAGTGGCGGATGCACTGAGGTTATGCGGCAGCTTGGCAGCAGTGATGGCTTTGGCGGCGGCCTTGGCGGCGGTGGCACGGTCCTCGACCGGGTCGCTGTCAGCGGCGCTTGAGGTGACGGTGAGCTTGCCCATGACGCTCATGGCGACAAGCGCCCGGAGGATGGCGTCGGACGAGCGGTCGGTGGCAGTGGCGATGGTGCTGACAAGGATATCAATGGCGGCGATGACGTTGGCTTCGTACACGGCGACTGACCGCGGGGACTGGCCAATGCCAGAGGCGGCATTCTTCCACATGCTGGCCATCGGCGGGCGGACCGACGAGATGGCAGCGATGCGGGTGGCGATGGCGACGTCAAAGACCGAGGCACCCATGATGCGCGAGGCGCGCTCGCGCTCGGGCGCGGCGGCGGCATAAAGCTTGGCCTGCTCTGCCAGCGGCGGCCGGGCCGGGGTGAGCAGGACTGAGAGAATGGGCTCAAACTCAGTGGTGGCCTCTGCGGCATGGGCCTCGATGATGTCGAGGAGTTTGCGGACAGCAGCGAGCGTGTTGCGGTTGGCGACAGGGTGGGTTGCGTGGATGACGCCGGCGAAGGTGTCAATCAGCTCGTGCATGCGAAGGAGAGCGGCGACGCCGGCCGAGGTGGCAGCCTCGGTGTTGCTAAAGGCCTCGACAAAGGCGACGGCAAAGCTGGTGAGCGAGCGAAGGGCACCTTCAGACGTGATGAAGCGCGATTGCTTGGCGACGGCGGCCATGACGTCTGTGGGGAGCGAGTCGATGCCGCAAGTCTCGGCAAGGGCCACTAGGTTGGCCGAGAGCGCTGAGATGTACGGGAACGGGATGCTGGTCGAGGTGCCAACGACCGCGGAGATCATGATGCGGATGTTGCTGGAGGAGAAGAGCAAGGCCGGAGTCAATTCGTCGGCCGAGGTGCCAGAGCGGAACCAGCTTGGCGAGAGCACCGGGGCCCAGTCCATGGACGAGTCGGTCCGAGTAAGGGTGACGAGCATGTTGACGAGTGGGGCGGTGAAGGACCGCGGCGTACCGCCGAGAGCGTCGGCGAGGCTCGGCACGACATGGGAAATAACCTTGCCGGGCTCGTTGGAAACGAGCGAGATGAGCTCGCGGATGACGAGGTCGCCAGCGAGCAGGAGACTCACTTCGTTGACGACCGAGCGGTTGACGAGGTTGACGGTGCGGCGGAGGATCTTGGCGTCGAGGCCGACAACGTCAAAGACACGCTTGGCAACCTCAGCACGGGCCTTGGCCTTGGCGCCGTCGGGCACGAGGCCGTTGAGTGCGACAGTCGTGCCGTGAATGACCGCGAGAACGGCAAAGACGTCACGGTACCGCTGATCGCGGCGCTCCGACGGTGTGTATCCGCCCTTGTCCGACTCCTCCAAGTTGACGAGCTCAGCACGGATGTTGAAGGTCGTGGCAAGCTTGGCAGCCGAAGCGAGTGGCGAGTCTGCGCCAGACTCGATGACGTCGTTGATGGCGAGAGTGGTGAGCGTCGAGAGTGTGGCGGAGTAGCCCTGGCGGGCACCCTGCGACGATGAACCCATACCACGGACCAGGCGCTTGACAACGTACTCCACCAGGGTCGTCACGTCCTTAGCAGGCGAATCGACCCGAGCCTTGGCAATGAGCGAGACAATGCCGTGCGCGGCGTGCGCCCGGGTCTTCTGCGAGAGTGAGGTCAGATCCCAGAAAAACGGCAGCGACTGCTGGACGAGCGTCGACCGGAGCTTGGCGAAGGCCTTGGCCTTGGTGGAGTCATTGACAGTACCTTTCGACACCTTAATCACACCGGCCTTGTTGTTGATCTGCTCCTCATACGCCTCAGACTCCCAGCTCCATTCGTTCCGTGCGTTGAGGCCATGCGTGGCCACAGCTGCCAGCATGTCGTCGACAGAGACGCCGCCGGCTCCGACGACGGATGAAACAGACGCCACCGCCGCCGAGCCTTGGCTCCCGTCCGGCCGCTTGCGCTTGTTCTGACCAGTCAATCCCATAGCTACTTGTCCACACTATCTAGTCCTTGCTGATCGAGTTGTGCCGATCTTCAAAGTCGCGTTGCACTCGGTGTCGATGAACGAGAGAGGGGTTACCTCCCCTCCCTCGCTTGCTCCCGCTCCGAGATGAGATGGATGGAGGATGGATTGGTGAGTGAGTGTGTGGGGGGTGGGGGGTGCTGTGGGTGCAGGCGATAAATTTTTATACCCTCGAGCGACTGCCACCACTGTACTACCCCGAGCCCTACAGCGTCAGTCCCCCATCCACGAGTCATCCACGTTTGGTCCATCAATCCCCATCCATGGGCCATCTCGCCATTTCATTCCCCTCCCACAACTGGGCTGTAGGCCAGGTTGGTCGACGTGTCACGTGCACGTGCTCGCTGATCGACTCATCCCTTTACGGTGAGCGCGGCGTCCAGAATCCAGTACAGAGTGGCGTGCCACCACTTGCGCGGCCACGCCGACCAGCAAGCTCGCCCGTCGCAAGAAGATCCACTACGTCTTCGCGCTCTCCCGCCCGGCGGCCGCTGTGTTCAACTCTGTTATGCTCTCCTTCCCGATTGTCGGGGTCATCAACGACAAACTCCGTACCGTCCGCGCCCGCTGCTCCTCCGGATCCGTCTACGTGTCGGCCGCCATCACGTGCGGGTACGCCTCCCATCCCAAGCCGCAGGCCAAGCAGGTGTCGCGCAGCGTCGGGCGGTAACCTGGAAGTCAAGCATCGTCGAGTTGCTCACTATGAATGGCATGTGCAATTGCGTCCGAACGACCATGCCGTCAAGGGTTCCACGACTCTCGCCAGAGTGAAAAGAACAATGCTTCTCAGGCAGTCCAGCATGTTTAAAACGGCGAACGGCACGGAGGGATGGGAAGCCAGCTCGGAGTGACAGACAACCATCTCGACGACTCAACGGACACGTCGACTCTGACGTCGACACAAGGACAGGCACAACGACGGGCACAAGGACACACATAGTTACCCGTGACGGAGACCTGAATCATGCCGAGTGCAGAGACGGTGACGGCGCGGGCTCAAGCTGACGCAGCTCGGGCACAGGCGTTCCGGGAGGCGAGGACGGCCGAGGCCCGATTGAGGGCGACGTACGATGCAGAGCGAACAAGTCGGAGGAGAGCAGCGGCGGTGGCGAGGCGAAAGGCGCGGAGTGCCGCTGATGCTGTGGCAAGAGCAGAGGCGGAGCGCCGTGCAGCGGAGAAGCCTATCGAGCGAGAGCGTGCTCGGAGGGAGCATGCTGAGCAGAGAACGGCGCGGAAGGCGGCCAAGGTAGAAGCCCGCATCGCTGCCCAGAAAGAGGCCCGACGCCGCGCAGAGGACGAGGTAGAGGCTCGAGTTGCGGCAAGGGCGGCTGAGGACGCGGCGCTGGTAGAGGCCAAGGCCGCGACTGTGGAGATGCGTCAGGCGCGGGCAGTGGCTCGTGCTCGTGCGGCCGAGGCGGCGGCGGCTAGCGACAAGGCGCGGGCGGCCGAGTGGGAGGCGGACAAAGTTGCCCGGCGTGAGCGGCAGGCTGCCGCCGATGCTGGCCATGCACAAGCTGTTGAGCGTCGCAGGGCAGAGTGGGCAGCCGCCGATGCGGCTCGGATCGAAGCCCGGGCCGCGCTCAAGGCGGCTCGCGCCGAGGCCGACCACGCCGCCACCGAAGCCTACGAGGCTGAGACCGAGGCGCTGCGGCTCGAGCGCGAGCACAAAGATATGATGCATGCCCAGGCCGTCGAGGCCGAGGCGATCGAGCGCGCCGCGCGCCGTGAGGCCAACGACGCTGCCAGTGCCGCGGCTTACCGCGACAAGTGGGAGTTGCGGCGCGAAGCGCGGCGCACCGCCGACGACGCCCGCGCTGCCGAGCGCGCAACGGCTCCAGAGGCCAAAGCAGCGCGTCGCCAAGCCGCCGACGAAGCATATGCTGCTGCACGCCGCGAGGCGCACGAAGCCATGGCGGCCGAGCGTGCTGCGGCCGACGCCGAAGCTGCTGCCGCCCGTGCTGCAGCCAAAACTGCGCGTGCCGAAGCGAGAATGGCTGCTGACGACGCCGCAGCGGCGAGCACAGCTGAGCGTCGCGCTGCTCGCGCTGCTGCCGATACCGAGCGCGCGGCCGAGCGCGCGGCGGCCCGGTCCGCCGCCGATGAAGCTGATGCTGCTGCCCGCGCCGCCGCTCTGGCGGCTGCTGCGGAGCGAAAGGAGGCTGTCCGGAACGAGCGCACTGTAGAGCGCCCTGCTGCCAAGGCTGCGCTGCGCGAGGAGCGGGCGGCGGCCAAGGCTTCCAAGGCCGAAACGCGGGCCGCTGCCGACACACAGCGCGAGCGCAACAGGGCTGCGACGAAGCAGCAGCGTCGTGAAGAGCGCGATGCACGGTGGGCGGCGGCAGCGGCGGCACGGGCTTCGGCCGATACGGCGCGGCAGGCGACTCGCAAAGCTGCGGACGAGCGGCGAGCCGAGGCGGCTGAGAACCGACCGGGATTATTGAGGACTTCTCGAGCCGCTGCTGACTCGCGCAAGGCAGCACGACGAGCAGAAGCCGCAGCGCAGCGGGCCGAGGCCCGCGCTCAGGCCGATGCAGCGGCGACGGCGGCCAAGTCCGAGTACGCGCAGCTGCGATCAACGGTGCGAGAGCAGGTGAAGGAGGCTCGAAAGCGTGATCGAGCTGCCGCTGATGGGGAGGCGAGACGCCAGGCAGCGGCGGCTCGTGAGGAGCGGCGGCGCCACCGCGTGGCGCGCCGGGCTGCCCGGGCCGAGCGGCAAGCTGCAGCCCAGGCGACAGAAGACGCGCGGCGCAGCGAGAAGGACGCACGCCGGGCCCGGACCATCGATGCTCTGCGAAACATCAACCGGCCGGTGCTTGCTGCGCTGCTCTCGGTCATCTCGCCGTTTGCTCGGGGCAAGCGCAAGGCCATGGACGCTGCGCGGGCGCTGGGCTTGGCGACGGTCGCCGGGCTTGACGCAGCGGTTGTGGGTGCAGCCGACGTCGTCCGCGGCTCAGCTGCTCTGGCCGGTAGGGTGGCAACGCCTGTCGGCCGATCGGTTGTGGACGCGACCCGCGCGACCGGAAACGTCATTTCGGACGTGGTCCACGATACCAGGAGTCTGGTGCGTGCGGTGACTGTCCCCCCAGTCCGCGCGGCTGTCGACGCCACAGCTGTGGCTACGGCGACTGTCGCCGACACGGCAACGGCCGTCGCCCGGGTCTCCAAGGATGTGACTGGCGCTGTCGGCCGGACGGTGGTCGATGCTGGGCGCAAGCCGGTGCGCGCTGTGGCCGATGCTGGGCGCGTGATGGGTCGCGGAACTGTCGACACTGCGGCTGTTATTGGTGGCACAGCGGTGGCTGCGGCCGTGGCCACCGGGTTGGGGGTGGGTGCTGTGGCACGTCCAGTTGGACGCGCCGTGGCTGATGCTGCGGCCGCCACTGATCGAGCCGTCCACGATGCTTCCGCCGCAGTGATGCGGACCATCCAAGACGTCGCAGTCATCACCGAAGCCTCGGTGACGTCGGCAGCTTTGCCTGTTGCTGGCGGTGTTCGGCGCGGCGTGCTGGCGGTCTCGCGAACTGGGGCCGACACCGCCGGCGCGGCTGCGCGCGGCGTCGGCCGCGGAACGACTGATCTGGTGCGGTCCTCGGTTCAGCACGTGGCTGTGCCTGTTGGCCGGGTGGCGCGAGACGCAGCAGAAGCTGTGGCGGGCGGGGCAGCCCAGGCCAGCCGTGTTACCGGTCGAGCGGCGCGAGATGCGGCTTCGGCAGCGGTGCACTCGGCGCGAGTGGTGGCGGTCCCGATTGGGAGGGTAGCGGAGGACGTGGCGTCGACCGTAACGCACGTGGCGGCTGATGTGGCACGACCTGTGGTCCGGACTGCGGTTGATGCCGGTACATTGGTGGCTCGCGGCTCGGCGATTGCTGGCCGGACAGCGACTCGAGTGGTCGGTGATGGGTCAATGGCAATTGTCGACGGCGCAGCTGCTGTGGCGCGGCCAGTCGGGCGGGGAGTTGTCGACGTGTCGCGATCAGCGGCCCATGCCGGGTCCACCGTCCTGCGCCCTGTCGGTCGCGGTGCGACAGACGTGGTCACCCATGTTGTGCCAGGCGTGGCGCTTGCAGGCGGACGCGCGGTGGTGCGAGCCGGCTCGGGCGTGAGTCATGTCGCGGTCCGCGGCGGCGCGGTGGTCGATAGGGCGGTGATTGCGCCTGTCACGCATGCGACGGGGACTACGGTGCGCAAGGCCGGGCGGGTGGTCGGCGGTGCTGCGGTGGTGATCGGCGACGAGACGGCTTACGTGGCGCGGCGAGCTGGGCTCGGCGTTCAGGGTGCGCTGCGTCCTGTCGGACGCGGAGTGGCGGACGTCGGTCGCAGGGTGGGCGGCGCCACGGCGTCGGGGGCGCGGGTGGTCGGATCTCAGTTTGCGGACGCTGTGGAGGCCGGTGCAGACGTTGCTGTTCGGGTCGCGCGGCCTGTGGGCGAGGTTGTTGTCGATGCCACCGAGGTTGCTGTGGGTGGCGTAGCCAAGGGCTCGCGAGTTGTTGGACGTGGCGTGGCCGACGTGGCTCGCGGCGCTGGCCACGTCACGTCGGACGTGCTGCGGCCGGTAGCGCGGACAGGTCAAGATGTGCTGGTCACGACAGCACATGTTGGCGAGACGGCGGCGATCAGGGCTTCGCGCGGCGTTTCCGACGCCGGCGGGCTCATCGCCGATGGAGCTGTCGCCGTGGCTCGTCCGATCGCCGCCGGCGCCAAGGCCAGTATCGCTGCTGGTGCCAAGGTTGCAGCGGCAGTCAACCCGGTCGCGGCCCTCGAGCGCTACGCCGATGCTGTGGTCGAGAGTTCCGGTCCGTCGGTGAGTGTAGCCAGCGAATGATAGAAAAGAAGGCATGTGGAAGAGGCGGCGATCGGGAGTGAGTTGGGTTGAGGAAGGGGGGCGAGTGTGGTTGTATCGGCTTTGCGAGTTGAGTCGGTCGAGGCGACGCAGCACGGGTCAGGGTGGTGGTATACTCAACTCGGGCAGCTGGGCGAGCAGAGGGGGAAGAAGTCAATTCAAGCAGAGCACGAGAAGTAGTATAGCCGTAGCAATATTATATCATAGTCATGGCGGCAGGAGGTGCAGCAGCAGCATATGCTAGGCTTCCGTTTGCTGGCCACTCGGTGGCCTTCTCGCCGTATGACGGCGAATTGGTGGGTGTGGCCACGGCACAGCACTTTGGCATTGTCGGGCAAGGCAGTGCTGTGTTTTTTCGCTACGATCCGGCTTCAGGCAGTTTGATGCCGATCGGACTGCCGCTGCAGACAAAGGATGGCATTTACGATCTGGCGTGGTCAGAAGCTTGTCATGGCCATGTTCTCACCGCTGGTGCTGATGGCATGCTGCGGCTGTATGATGTGTTTGCTGGCGGCGCTGGTGCTGGCGAGAGCGAGCTGATGATGGATGGCCGACCGGGGGCGGAGACGACGCCGCTAGCGGGATGGACCGGGCACGAGGCTGAGGTGGCGTCTGTGGCGTGGTCGCCGCTGAGCAAGACTTGCTTTGCGTCGGGATCGTGGGACGCTACGCTGCGGGTGTGGGACCCGAATGCGGCGGCGCCGATATTGAGCTACACCGACTTTAAGTACTGTGTGTACACAGCGGCGTGGGCGCCGCACTCGCCCACGCTTTTAGCTGGATGCTCGGGTGATGCAACGCTGCGGCTGTTTGACACCAAGACGCCGGGCGGAGCGGTGCTGACGCTGCCGGCACACGACTTTGAAGTTCTCTCGTGCGACTTTAACAAGTACGCGGAGCATGTGATGGTGACGGGCTCTGTGGACACCAGCATCGCGCTGTGGGACGTGCGGGCTCCGCGGGCGCCGACCGCGGTGCTGGAGGGCCACTCGCTGGCAGTCCGGCGGGTCCTCTTTTCGCCGTTCTCGGAGCACTTGCTGGCGTCGGCCGGCTACGACATGGCGGCCATGGTGTGGGACTTGTCAAGCGTGGCGGCGACGGGCACGGCGACCATTCTGCAGCGGCTGGAGCATCATAGCGAGTTTGTGGTTGGGCTCGACTGGTCGCTCTTTCTGGACAATGTGCTGGCGACTGCCGGGTGGGACGACTCGCTGTTTGTGTTTGGTGTGGGCGACGATCCGGGGCGGGTGCGGCCGGCGGTGCCGCTGTGAGTCTCGCTGCTCAGCTACATGGCGTCAGCAGCGGTGGCGATATCGAGGAGGCGGGCGTAGGCTGCGGCAGCATGAGGGTCCGAGAGCGCACCGAGGACGACGTAGTCGACACCTGCGGCGGCGGCAAGCTCCATCAACTCGGGCCCATTGCCGCTGGCGATCTGGTCCGGGCCGAGGTCGAGAGCCACCGACCGGCCGCGCTCGTGCAGCTCAGCGACGGTCCGCATGAGTGCCGAGACTGTTGCGCACGACGCGAGCGTAAGGGTGACGACCGAGTACTTGTTGGCGACTTGGACCTGGTGCTCCGGCTGCGACCAGTTGGTGCCTGCGGTGGCGTGGCTTGGTGCAACAACGTGCCTGCGATTGCGCGGGTGCTTTGTGGATCGGCCAAAGAGCGCCGCCGGCTCGTCGGGCGCGGTGCCTGTCTGGGCCTTGGCGTCGCGGGCGAGGTTGGAGAGCGGCGGCGGGGCGCTAATTTTGGGCGGCGGGGCGCCGTCGACGATGCTGGCGGCAGCCGACTTGCGGGCACGCCGCGAGCGACGGCTCTTGGACGACATAGGCGAGGTTGGAGTGACCGGAGACCTGGGCGAGGCCGGCTCGTCGTGGCCGACAGCGCGACTGCTGGGCTTGCGGCGCCGACGCGAACCGCTTGTGGAGCGGTTAGAGGCGACTGACGCGTTGCTTGAAGTCCCGCCGCTGCTGCGGACACGAACAAGGGCATGGTCGTCGTCAGCAAATCGCGGTGACATGCTTGTGGCCGATGCCGGCGACGTCGCGGCTCCGGGCGCGGTCGAGACCGCGACGCAGAACCCAGGGTCCGCCGCCGTGAGCGCATAGCCGTCGTCGTCGGCGGTAGCAAACGGCTGGATGATACCAGTGACGGCGTCCGTGTTGAGGACCTTGGACTTGTAAACGCTGAGCAGGTCAGCGGCCGAGCGGAGCTGCGTCTTGGACGACGACGAGTTCGAGCCAACCCCAGTCGGGAGCAGGCCACAGGACGCAGCACCGGAGACGTCGTAGCGCCGGATGCGGGCAATGTAGGCGGCATCGGGCTCGGCCTCGACCCAGAGCTTGAGGGCCGGGCCCGGACGCGGAGGTGCGCGGACAGGCGGACTCGCAACGGCCACTGCAGCCTCATCGAGGAGCGAGACGACGCCATCGAGAGAGTCGAGCTTGGCGGGAAGGTAGCCGTTGGCGGGCGATGCGATGCCAAAGGCGGCGCCCATGCGGTCGGCGAGCGCGGCGCCAAAGGCAGCATAGACGTCGGGCACGACAGAGAGTAGATTGGCTTTGGGTGTGCGCGGGACAAGCCAGACTCGCCGCTGTCGGAACTTGGCGCCAGTGGTGAGGCCAGCGGAGACGAGCGGGATGACCGGAATGGGAACGCGGGCGGTGGTGGAGAAGCGGGCGGCGAGCCAGTCGAGGTACGGCAGGCCCGGAAGTCGCGGGACAGGCTGCGGCGCCGCGCGCATACAGGCGCGAAGGACCGCGAGCGATACAGCAGCCGTGACAGCAGGCGGGACGCCTGTGGTCGGCTCTGGCTGCGGAACGTGAGTAGCCTCCCACTGTTCCGGGCTCTGTTGCGCGCCGTCCGAGTCGGGCGATGCTGCGCCAGGGCGCTCGGGCATGGGCTCGATGGGCCACGAGCCGACTTGCCATGCTTGCGGCTTGGCGGCGAGTGAGAGGAGCTTGAGGTCAACGGCCTCGAGGTGCAGGTCGGCACCGCGGAGTGCAGTCTCGACAGTGGCGACCGCGTCGTCAAGGCCGTCAAACTGAAGAAGCCCCAGCGGGCGACAAGCCGGGCCCAGCAGCTCGTCAACGATGGCATCAACAGCGGCTGCCAGGCGCTCAGGTGAGACGGTAGGAGCTGGTGGGCGAGGCGCAGCATCATGAGCGTCGTGGTCGGCGGCAGGCGCAGCGGCAGGCCTCGGGGCGTCGGAGCGGCGCTTGTCTTGACGCTTGCGGGCAGAGGAGCGGGATGGTGATGGACGGGCCGACTTGCCCGACTTGCCCGACTTGGGCGAGGAGTTGTGCGGCGAGCGCGGCGAGCGCGCCGGCGCGCCCGACAAGGAGGCGGCAGCGGCGGCGCGAGCGACGGCGTCCTCCTGCGCGAGCTCGGCATGGATGTCGGCCACGTGGCTGGCGACAAGCTCTGCCAGCGAGGAGCCAAGGGTGTGGATCATCCGGCGGTCCTGCGGCGCAAGGAAAATGCCAAGGCGGGCAACCTCGGGCGAGGCAAGGAGAGCAGCGACTGCCGCATCGAGTGAGACTGTCGCCACCTGCTCCAACGAGATGCTTCCAGCAACGCCGCCAAAGAGGCGGTCATCGGTAGACTCTGTGGCCGACGAGTCGCGCTTGCTCCTTGCCGATGAGAGACTGCGGTCAGCCCCGCCACCACCAGCTCCAGACTCGCGCTTCCCGCGCTGCGATGTGCCACCGCTCGCGCCCCTTGCACCTGAAGCGCGGACAGAGGAATGACCCGATGCCGACGAGTTGAGACCGTGGTGCGAGGGCAAGCTGTGACGATGAGACGGCTCTTGGCGGTGAGGAGAGCCGAGCTCGTTGTCCAGAGCCGCGGCAGCAGCAGCCTTTAGCAGCGGAATGACCATGTCCATGAGCAGACGAGGCGCAGTGGGAGAAGCCGAAGCGATGAGGGAGAGGCCTGCAGCAGCCGCGGCGACTTGGGCATCGTTGGCGAGGGCCATAGCCGAGGTAGGAAGGAGCGAGATGCGACAGGGATGGAGCAAGAATGGCGAGCAAGTAGAGGGCGACAATGAAGAAGTAAGGCAGAGAGTATGGATGGTGAGCGATGAGGGAAAGGTGGCGATGAGGTGACGGCCGAGGCAGGCAAAGGGGTCCGGAGGGAGAGAGGCAACCATGTCGTTGACAGCCTCCGAGAGCTTCTCCCCGACTTGGTGTTGATGGAGGTACTGGCTAATGCCCTGCCCCTGTTCTATCTGTTTGTTGTCCATGGTGAGGGAGTGGTGGTGGCTGGTGGCTGGTGGGTGGTGGGTGGTGGGTGGGTGGTGGTGGTGGTGGTGGGGTAGTGGGGTGACTGTAATGGCTGTGCTCTGGTTGGCGGGTAAGTGGTTGGTTGGTGGGGTT